AAAATATGTTCAATATCTATAGCAATTTAACAAAATTTCCCACTAAAATATGCTTACATCTTTTTTTCTACCCAATCTTCAATATTTTAAATAGTATCACTTTAACTTTAAGTTTAATTACTTTAACCTTTAGGTTATCTTTATGTAATTGAATTTCTAACATCCATCACACTTTAATCAGCATTATTAGCTTATTGATCTTATTATCCAATAAATAATTTATCATTCATAGCATCTATATCATCTTCACAATCATAAAATTAAGTAATATTTCCATCAGATCCCTCATTTTCAGGTTAAATATCATCATTTTCACAATCATCTTCTATTTTTGGTTATTGAAATATTATATTTTATGAAATATTATTTGTAACTATTTAAGATGACTCTTAAGAACTAGATGTTTTCTTTTGTTTAATTTATTCTAATGTACCTTAAGAAAGATTATTTTAATCAGTTTTTCCTTAAACTTAATTAATATCATTTAATTTATCTGATTTTTACATATTAATTTACTAATGTTAAACTTATTTATCATCATCTTTTAAGTTTGTAATTTATGGAATATTTTTATCTTTAGAAGGTAATGTCAATTATTATGGTGATTAAATTTAAATTTATTAATTTGGTATCTATTATGGAGATGATATCAGAATAGGTTATTATAAATTATTTTAATTTTAAATTGATTATTTAGAAATATCTACAGTTTATTCAATTTTACAAGAATTCTATTTTGTTTCTTTTCTATTTTATATTTTTTATTTTTAAGTTGCTAATTCATTTTAAGGACTATTATTTGGAATAATGGATGAATTTTAATCTTATATAGGTTATTTATCAAAATCTATTTTTTATGGTTTTATTATGTTTTCATATTGCAAAAAATATTATTATGATAATATTGAATCTTCTTCTATAAAAGCTAAACCATTATAACTTTATTCTGTAAATAACACAATATTAGTTTAATTATTTTCATAGAATAAACCCCAAACAGCAAATTTTAATATTCCAGAAACAGTACCTTAATGTATTTTTTAATCTACTTTTTTTTCTATAACAATTTTAATATTTTCTTTTTTTTTAAATTCTACTACATGTCTTAAATATGTGAATTCTCTTTTAAACTAAAACCAATTTTTGATTAATCGTATTTCTGTTATCATTTAGGATTTATCAGATTTGAATTCTTGAATTTAAGTATATTCTTTTAAATTATGAATATTCCAATCATATTATGTATGAAACAATTATGTTTAACATTTTGTTAAACCTAATTATGAATAATAATAATACAATTTCCTGGTAAAGTTAGAAATACTTTAAAATTGAGTTAATTGTTTTTATTACGATAAATCTTCACTACTTGATTTTGAATTAGCTCATACTATTCTAATAAGTAAGATTTTGTTTTGATATTTTGAATACTAAATTAATATATAAGAATATAAATATACGCATCTCGAATTTCTGGGATATCAAAAAATTATGGAATTTCATAATCGTAATCTCTAAGTGATGCTGTAGTGTAATAAAATATATTATACATATTGATTTAGAGGATAAACTAGGTTCAAATAAACTTTAAGTTCGTAGTTATTATCCACACATTTTTTTTAAGAACAACATAAGCTCATTAGCAAATTTCTCATTATCTGATCCCATTAATATATTCTTTTCACCTATAGTTGAAATCAATTCAAATTGAAATCTATTATTTTTTCTTTCTACATTTGCTATCTATCAAGAATGAGAATCTTCTTTTACTTAATAATTTGCAAGATGGTAATTTTTATTTTATTTTGAACTTTTTATTGAAAATATTCTAAGTTCTTGATCAATTATGTATTTCTTTGGTTGCCAAAGCCCAAATGTCTTTCCTTTTACTAGGACTTCTCCTTCTAAAAGATAATTGATTTTTGCCTTGTCCATAAATTTAATAATATATTTTGGGATATTAAAATGGATTTTTAGTGTAAACTATTATTCTACCCCTTTTGCTCACTTTACATCATATAAATTTATTTTAAAGTTATATTGTTTTTTTTTTGTAACAATATGATAATACAACCTAGATACTCATAAAAGATGGCTGATACATTCTCTAATAGTAAGGACTTTTACTCATTTCATCAAAAATAATTCATGGCTTCAAAACCATAAGCACAACGTTTGGAACATTTATCTATCTCACAAAGAACTAAAATTCAATCAAGCAAAGATAGAACAAGTTCTGAAATTTTAACAGCTTTTATTAATAGAGGAATGCTTTCCACTTAATAAAAAGTGTCAACTACAAAACCTTATGATAATTCATCAAGTATTTTAATAAAGTAGAGTTATGATGAAAAAATAATAAGAGAAGAGTTACTGACATAATAGGCTCTATAAACCATAGAGGATTTTGAAAAAAGTAATAAATGATAATGAATAGTATAGGTAAGAAAATTCTTCCACCTTTGAGATTATATGCTGATAAATTAAAACTCAAAGAGAGACAGAACTAATCAAAAGAAAAAGTAGAAACCTTTAAAAGTTCTCTCATTGAAACGTAAGCTTTATTTATTATAATAAGTCCAACAATATAAAGAACAATTGTGAGAAAGAATAGAGGATTTATATAAGGTGAATAAAAGTCAACATATGAAAATGAACAAAGTATTTAAAAGATGGGAAGAACTTCATCTACACCTTTAATGTAAAAATCAAAAGAAGATAAAGAAGAATAAGCAACAAGTAGATCTGGAACTCCTTAAAAAGAAACTTCAAATGTTAGTCCAATAAAGAATCCTCAAAAGAATTTAACAAAATAATTGAGTATATATACTCCTTAATAAAAAACAATTAAAGATAAGAAATTACATAGTGCTTCACATTTATCATAACCATAATAACAACAACAATAATAATAATAATAATATCCTATCCAAATTGATAAAAAAATAATTCCAAGAAAAAAAAAGAAATAAAATTAAGTTAATATTATTCAGTAATAAAATATATAAAAAGAGAAGTTGAATTTACGTCATACATCATATCGTTGTTTTTTGAATAAGATCAATTTTTCAAATAATTAATGCATTTCTTGTCCCAATAAATTAGAAGTTCCAGCCTATTATTATTATGTAGGTCTTGGAAATAATGGAAGTTTAGTCAAAAATATATTTCGTTAAAGATGGTGGTGGTCTGAAGTAGAAACTTTAGATACAATAAAAGTCAATATGTCATGGACATAATTGAAATAGAATATTTGTATTGAATAATTACATCCTTATAATATGGATTCAGGAACTTAAAGTTCAGATTCTGTTATTTTGAGTTATGAGGAAACAATTGGAGATACAAGTGATTCAGATATTGATGTAAGACCTAAATAATTGAGCATAACTGGAGGAATTCATAAATAGTAGAGTTCTTCTTAGCATCAATAGAAGAAACCACCAAATTATTATTCAATGAAAAGAATATTAAATGCTTAAGATCTATAGAAATTAGTCAATTATATGGAAGAAATTAACTGTTTTGATAGCTAATTGATATTTAGTGATTGCTCTGAAAAATTACTAAAGGATATTAAATAATATAGTACTATTCAAAGACTTGATAGTAGAAACTAAAAGATGCATAATCATATGGAAGATAATTGGCATTTAGGTAATAAAAAGGCATTGTTTTATAATATGAGACATTATTTTTAAATAATTAAAGAAGATTATAATAAATTGTTACCTGTAACTTTTCATGTTCAAAAAGGATTAAGTGATATTGAATACTCAAGATTTTTGGATTATTATAATAAAAGAAATGAAGAACTTAGAGAAATTGAAAAGAATAGAGATAGAAAAGATAAAAAGAAATTACCCCTTAATCTTTGGATAATAAAACCAGGAGAATTGACTAATAGAGGTAATGGTATTACTGTTTGTAATGATTTAAATGAAATAAATAAAATTATAAGTGAAGAAATTTAAGAAGGTAGATAAAGAACTTATATTGTTTAATAATATATTGATAATCCTTTTTTGTATAATAAACGAAAATTTGATATTAGATGTTATATGTTACTCACTTCTTAAAATGGAATATTTAAAGGTTATTGGTATTAAGAAGGATATATAAGAACATCATCTAAAGAATTTACTACTAAATGTTTAGATAGATTTGTACATTTGACAAATGATGCAGTTTAATCAAAAGATTAAGATTATGGTAAACATGAACCAGGCAATAAGATTTCTTATTTAGAGTTCTAAAGATATGTTGAATGTAATTATCCAAATTCTAAATTCAATTTTTTTATTGATATTTATCCCAAAATGAGATCTGCAGCCTTAGATATGATGAAGGCAACTTATGGTAAAATAGACCCTCATAGAAGAATTAATAGTTTTGAGGTATTAAAATTTATTAAATAATATTAGTTATATGGATTAGATTTTATGATAGATGAGAATTTTAAATTATGGTTAATTGAAGCCAATACTAATCCATGTCTTGAATAATCTTGTCCTCTTCTTAGTAGAATAATACCAACTATGGTAGAAAATCTATTTAGGATCGCTGTAGATCCAATTTTCCCTCCTCCATTTTTTGAAGAATGGCCTTAAAACAAAAAACTATTTATTCCTGATAATGTAATTGAAAACAATAAATTCGAACTTATTTTTGATGAATTAATAGAAAAGAAAAACATGCTTAGTTTGTTTCGAGACAATAAAATTGAATAAGAATGTTTTGATATTGAAGAAGAAGAAGAGGAAGAAGAAAAAGATTGATAAATTGTATAACTAAATAAATTTTATAATTATCATTTTAAATTAATATTTAACTTTAGATTTAATATTTAATTGTTTTTTTTATTTTATTAGATTTCATCAGAAATATTAGGTTGTTATGAATTTAATTTTTTAATTTGGTAACATCATTTTTATCTTTTTCTATACAAATATAATTATATGATGTAATTGAAAAAATAATTAATATATATTTACTTACTTATGTAGAGAGTCATCTTACAATATGCATTTAAAATCATAGATGGCCTTTTTGTTGGAAACCTTCGTGCTCCATTAGTAAATATAATATTTTATATTGATGAGGAAAGAGATTTTTTGTAAATGAATAAAATTAATAACATCATTAATTGTGCTGCATCTGAACTTACATATAATGGCAATGGAAACACTCTCTGTTTTTATTGGAGAGATGTTGATGACCAAGTAAAAAAACAAATACATTTAGAAAATTGTTTCAATTGAAAATATAGAAAAAATTCATAATTTTATTGAAACAGCCATCAATAATGGGGAGGGTGTATTATTTTTTTCACTTAGAGGATAGAGTAGAGCTTTAACAGCCTTAACAGCGTATTTAATGTACAAGTAACTTTTCTTACTGAATTATTTTTAAGATTTAGTTGGAGCTTATATAAAACACTATAATTTTTAAATTCAAGAAGGAAAGACTTTGAAATTAGAGCAGCATTCTTAAAATAATTAATGAATTTTGAAACTGAATACTTCAAAAACAAAGAAATAAGTAGACATTGGGATTATAATAAAGAAAATTAAGAAATTTAGGTTATTTAAAATACCTATTTAAATTCTTTATAATAAGCACCTTTATTGGTAAAAACACTTGGGAGTTTGTCAATTCAAACTGGATAAAAATTAAATGTAACCTGGTCTATTAACTTAATATAATAAATATAAACAATTTAAAATACGTAAGAAAAATAGTAAAAAACAGAATTGAAATCTATTTTAAAAGGTTCTACTCTAAATTTTAAGAAAGATAAATAATTTAGATCTATTTCAGTAAATGATAATTCAAAATAAAATTTCGAAGATTTCATTTTAGAAACTTTATTAACCACAAAAAAGTTACAAACACCTAAAATTAATTGTTTAAGTTTTGAAAACAAAGCGAAAAAAAAGGATTTTTTAGTTATGAATACATCTTAACAAAGGCCTAAATCAAAAAGAAAATAGAATTTTACTCCAGAGAGATAAAGAACAATATAGAACAATAACTCAATTTTGGACACTTATTTAAATTCATAATTAAATAATTTAAAATTAATGAAGGGTAGATCTATTTACACTCCTAAAAGAGAAAGAGTAAGAGCAATTTCTTAATAGAATTCAAGTCCTAATAAAACTCCAATTCAATAAATATAACCTTTTTTAATTGAGAATCAAAATATGAGATGGAATATTGTGAAAAAGTAACCTCAATTCAAAATTAAATGATTCTTATAATCATTCTTATTATTTGTGTATATAGAATTACAAAATTTTTATTAATATCTATTTCTTATCAGTCAAAACTTGGTTTATTGGTTCTACTGCTTTTAATTTCAGTAATTAATTATCTACTTGTTGCAGCTTGCCCTTTTTTTTAACTTAATTTTGTCGAGACTAAAATAATATATTATTTATTAATTTACTTCCACTTTTTTTATTTCTCATATCCTTCATTATTTAAAATATGTCAATACTAGTTTATAATGTATTTTTTCTATTTTACTAATATCAATACTTATCTGACATTTTAAGCTATTCTTAACTCATTTTATGAGATTCCTCTGATTTCAAGATTTCTGATTATTTTCTACTATTTGGATGTGGTTACATAATAAATCCAAATAATCTAAATTTTAAATATTTAATTATTACTATTTTGATTTTTTATTACCTCCCTTTGGAGACATTTATTTAACATCTTTTTGTCTTTCTCCTAAAGAAAATAATAGACTAGCATAAGACTTTGAATTTTCTTATTAAGTCCCAATTTTTGAATTTAAAGTTTATTTGAATTTTTATGTAACTTTGGCATCTGGAGATTATGTTGAATAGGACTCTTTTCTTAAAGCCTTATTGATCATATTGGAACAGTTAGTCAAATCCTATTTAAATGATATTAATTCCCCAACTGAAGTACTATTTTTAGTACTAATTCATATAATTATTTTTTACTGCATTTTATTATTATAATTGACATCTTCTTTGTATACTTTATTTTTTTAAAGACTTGTTAATTGAAGTTATTATTATTCTCCCAAAGAACTATAATGAGCCAATGGAGATATAATTCTATTCTTTTTATTAATAAAGACATCTTATCGTCTTTCTCCTTATTAGACATAATTAAGGGATAAATTGAGGGGATATTTTTATGAATTTAAGAGACTGGTTCTGCTATCTTTACTTAGAGATTGTCCTCTGTTTTAAGATTAAGGTTAGATTAGGGGTGAATGACTTGATTATAATTTATGGGTTTCCAAATATAAATTTGTATTGATTTGTAAGTACTTTTAGGTTTCTAAGATTTCAATCTATTAATTGAATAGATGTCATAGATACATACGTTATTTTGCAATTTCAAAATTTCATATTGAAGTTTTGCATTCTCTTATGCTTTGATATTCAATTTTTACATCAAATAAACTAATTTTTCATTCATAGCCAATTTATGAGGTAATAAATCATTAGAAAAATCAGTTATATTATTTAAATCAGCACTTTTTTTTTATTCTAAAATTTCAATTTTAGATTGCAATAACATATTTTCTTATACTAGAGTTTAATTCTTTTATTTTTATTGAATTAATTCTTATTCTAATTTTTGATTTTGAGTTTAAAGTTACAAGATTTAACTTTAAAAAGTTGTTTCAATAACATTTTTCTAATCAGTTAATTCCTTAATTTATTTAATCAAATCATCTTATAATGTTTTTGGAATATTTTAGGTATTATGCTATTTAACTAGAGTTTCCTCAAAGGCGCTCTAATTTCCATGATTAATAATTAAAGGTTAATCTACACAAAGTTATTTCTTTACTAAATAAATATAATTTTTGAATTTATTACAACTACTGAAACAACCACCTTTTTAAGGGAAGCTGAATTTAGTTAAATTCTTATTTTAAGGAGCTGGAGGTTCTTACATAATGTCTTTAGGACTTTGTTAAGAATCAATTCTTTATAGATTAGATTCAGATTAACCAGAATTAATACTCTATGGATGAAACTCAACAAATTCAATATATTGTATAGGAAGAGATTCTTAAATTTCTTCTTATTTTTGATCACTATTTTTTGGATTGGTATGAAATTCTTAAGATTCCTATAAATTAAGAGGATGAGAACTAAATGATTTAGATTCTTTAGTAAAATTGAGTTCTTAATTTTCAACATCTGGAATGTTGCTACAAAATTCTTCAAAAGTGTCTAATTCTGGAATCTATATATTATATATTAATAGTTTACTTATTATTAGACTATTTTGTCTTCATCAGAGGATTATATGATTAAATTAGCTGGTTTTCTTTGTTTGAATAATGGTTACATATTGAATTTTAAATTATATTTTCTTAATAATAAAAATATCGATAAATTAAATAGTATGTCTCATAAACAAAGTTTACAAAAGAATTCAGAATCATCTAATTCTCCTTCTTACAAACCTAAACACTCTAAATGATACCATTAATGACAAGAATCACACTATTTTAGATTATATTCATTTACCTATACATATTTTCTATCGGGATTAACCGGTTATTGACATGAACAAAATTTTTAAAGTGTTTCTAAACCTTAAAATTATTTTTTTTCCATATCCCAACTTAATCTGTTAAAATAAACAGTGGATTCAATTTCATCAAGATCCTAATATTCTTTACATGTAAAAATCTAGCATGAGTGTATCACAGTCTATGCCAAAATGTAATCTTCGTGTTTAGTTTTAAATAACTCTTGTTCTGATACCCATTCATTACTTTTTGGATGAGATTTTATCACTTCACTTTTTCTCATATACCATTGCACACGACATAAACAAATCAGTTTAAGTGTTGTGGGTTCTTTTATTGATATAATTTATTTTATGGTCCCTATATAATCTTCATCATGAGCATCTCCACTATTAATCAATACACTCTCTCCCAACTTGATAACTTTCTTTTGAACCTTAATACAATCATATTCTTCATATAATCCTTTACTTTGTTTAGCTACCTTGATAAGGTTTTCCCATTTTTACACCTTATACAATTCTCTAATACTAATCGTAGAATCTTTCGAGATTTGTTTCTTTGTGATTGTAGAACTCTCTGGTGATTCCTTTTTTAATTTGTCCTTGTTTTTTCTTGTCTTTTTGATCCAGTGAGAATACTTCATATATATTTAGATCAGATATTTATTTGATATATACTTTAATTAAAAATTCAATTGGATATAAAACTGCTTTCAAAAATATTTATTATATCTTGATTTTTGATCTAATTATGCATAACAAACTCTTTTGGTCTTATATAAATTCCTAATTATATTACTAAAAGGAATTAAATTTATCCTAAACAACTAAATTATATCATCTCTCTAAAATTCTAAATCTGATGAGTTATAAGTCCCTTTTTTTAACACAAAAGAATTTTTTTTATCCCTTATTTTCGTTAATCTTACTGAATCTATTATTTTAAGATCCCTTCCTAAAGACATTTTTAATATTCGGAATATATTAGATATAAAACTCTATTACATTTTAATCAAGGAACTTCAATATTTTTTATTAGACTAACTCAATTTTTATAAAAAAACCTGGATTTATATGATTAATTCTTATGCCATTATTATATATTTGGATTACTTTTAACTAAACCTAATAAATATACTTTGAAATAATGTTAAGTTATTCATTTATTGATTCAATATTTAAAAGATTATCAATATATTCATAATAATATTTGAAAAGTGCTTTTAGATTTTAAATTTCATTTTAACAAAATATATAAATTTCTATCTATTTTAATAAGTGTTTTTGGAATTAATTATCTTATTTACTCAATTATAAAGGGTTGTACTGAATTTTTGAATTAAATTCCATTTTACTAATCATTATAAGATTGTATTGTTATAACTTTATAATAAGTATACTTATTATATATGTATTCAATTTTGAACATAGAAATAAAATTGTTTTCAAAATAATTATATAGAAGTTATTATTATATAATTCTTCTTTATTAGTTTATTTAAATTATATTGTCACCATAAAATTATTAATTGGAATTCCACAATCTGTAATATGAATATATATCAACTTTCATTCTAATATTTGTTCAAATACTCTATTAAGGGTTTTATTATAGGATAGTATTTCTGAATTAATAAATTTTTTTTATATATTTTCATTTTAATTAATATTTATTATTATATTTTTAAACATAATCATTTCTCATTTTAGTTCAATTTCATATTTATTATTAAGTTTGATTAAGATTTAACAAAGAATATGAATAGATATTTTAATTCATTATTTCAAATATAAATTATTTATTAGACAGATTTTATAAATAATTATAGTATTCAATATTTGAATATAAATTATATTAATTAATTTAAACATTCTTTAATTAAAATATTTAGAATTTAATATAATAAACTCAGCTCTATATAAATATTTTAAAAGTGGTATATATATTAATAAAATTAATATGATTATTAATTTAATAAAATGATATATGTTATATCAACACATTATTTTAGTATTTAATATAATGAGAGAAATAATAATAATAATCCTAATAATAATAAATCATTACTGATTAGACAGAAAATTAATAATATAAATTTAAATAAATAATAAGATAGAGATGAATGTTAATTTTAATGTGAATATATTTTTGAATATGATTTATGTTATTAATTTCAATCAATAAACGTAAAAGTTTATCAATAAAATAGATTCTAAACAAAATTTAATTGTTTAAGAAATTTAAAGATCTTATTTATTGAATGTATTATTAAATTGTTAATCTTATTTATTAGACAAGAAGTTCTTAGAATAATGTCGTTATAAATATTGTATTATGTAAATTTAGTCTTAATTATTAATAACTAATATGTAAATAACTACGAATTACGATAGTGAGCCATTCTCATTAATAAATACTAAGAGATAAATATTTAGTGGAGATTAAGATGTGAAAATGAAGCAATATTTTCAGAGAAGCCGATCAATAGAAGATATTGATTAGATGATTGATGATTATGGCAAAAGTGCTAAGTATTGTTTATATAATAGTAATAGACCTTCATCTTCTAATTTACGTAAGACAAAAAGCAATTATAAGCCTCCAACTATAAATATTCAAAATATCATAACAAATAAAAGGGAAACTTTTATTTTTGAGAATCTGAATTTGGATTAGAAAGAGCCAGGGTATGAGTTGATAAAAATTGAATAGATTTAGTCCAGTTTGGAAACATGGAAGCTTGAAGATAATCAGATTGGTTGCTAGATTTTTATATTAACTGAAAACAAAAGCAGAAACTTTGAAGTTAAAATTGATGAATCATCATATATTTAAATACATTGATGATAAAGCAAGTGATTTTAATGAATTCAAATCTGGGAAGACTATAGATGATCATTCCTTTAAAAATATAATGTGTAGAAATCTAAAGAAGATGGAAGGAGCATTTTCAGTCATTAAGACTATTATAGAATATTTATTCAATAGAATAGGAGTTATATATCCAGAGAGTACATTTAAAATTATATGGGATTCTATAGTAGTATGTTTTATAGTAATCAATATATTCTTTATACCAATGTCATTAAGTTTTGAATTGGATAAATCAAGTACTTTAGTTTGGTTATTCTTTGAAACCATACCTAGTTACATATTTATAGCTGAAATACTACTTAATTTTAATACTGCATATTATGGTCATGGAGTAATTCATTCAACAAGAAAAGAGATATTTCATCATTATGTTTCTGAAAATTTTTGGTGGGATTTAATGATATCTATACCTTATGTATTATCTTAATTGGATATACCTTATATACAATTTGTATTATTATTAAGAATTACAAGAGTTAAGTCTATGGTTTAAAATGTGGAAGATATGTTGAATGCTAAAGAATCTGTTTAGGCAGCAGTAGAATTATCTAAATTAATATATTTTATTATATTTGTTGCACATATGTGTAGTTGTGCTTGGCATTTATTGGGTAAAATAGAAGTTGATGTTTATGGAGATAATAATTCATGGTTGATTCATTATGGTTATTATGATGAACCTTGGCATACTAGATATATAGTAAGTATCTATTGGAGTGTAATAACAACATTAACAGTTGGTTATGGTGATATAGTTCCTTAGACTTCTATTGAATAATTATTTGTAGTTATTATTGCTATGATAATTTGTGGTGTATTTGGTTATTCTATATCTACAATTGGAGAGATTCTTAAGAATTTGGAAGAGAAAAAGGGTCAATTTAAATAATTGATGAAAGAGGTTAATTCTTATATTAAAGAAAAAGAATTAAATTTATAATTATCTTTAAAAGTAAGAAAATATTTTGAATTCTATTATTAAACATAATAATCATAAAAGAGATCTTATTAAACTTTACTTAATAATTTGAATGAATAATTAAAATAAGAAATTATGATAGATTTATATAAGAAGATTCTCATCTAATCTAAATTTATTAATGATACATTTAATGAAACATTGATTAATTAACTTTGTTAAAAAGTTTAATAAGAAAATTTTGGACCTGGAGATGACATTATTGATATTAAAAATAAAAGTGAAAAAAAACTAATTTTTATAATAAATGGATAAGTTGATAGTTTTATTCATATACAAGGTTCTCAAAAAGAAACATAACATCTTATTACTTAAGGCAAATTCTCTCGTACTTATAAGAAAGGAGATATTATTGGTGAATTTGAATTTATTACTAATAATGATTATTCTCTATAATATAGAGCTGTCAAATTTACATAAGTTGCTTTTATTAGTAGATAAGATTTATTAGAAATTATAACTCAAGATAAGGATCATCTATATAAATTCCAAAAACTTATTGATTCTCTTACATATTCTTAAAAATTAGGAAGAACTTGTGAAATTTGCAAATGGACTCATTTATATTAGAAGTAATTATAGAATTGTTTTATTTTCTTTAAATTTTAGTTGTCCATTTACATTCTATTAGCCAAATATTTGGAAAGTAGTTCGACAAGCTTCTGCATCTGTCAATATCAAAAGGTTCCCTTTCGAACGTAAGTCTCGTTAAAGATACAAAGCAATTTCAAACTCTTAGATTACAATAGCTACAATTTTGGATTTCATGTTAATCCATAATTTTATATAAGAAGAGTATATTTATTATATAAATATTAAGTCTCCTTTGTAGTAAAACACTATAAAGATTAGGTTTCAATAATAATCATAGGATTAGTTAGAAAGAGATTCATGAGATTAGTTCAGGTTCTTCTTCTAATACTTCAAGTAGTAATGAATCATCATCTAATAATAATACATCTGTTAAAAATAAAAGAACTTCTTTATAGTCATAAAATGAAAAAAATGATAAATTTGAACGTTTAAGAACTACAGTAAATATGAAAGATAGTGCTCATAATAACTTATTAAAACCTATCTTATAAAAAATGAATTCTATTGGTTAATAATAACATGAAGATTAAGCTAATTAAAATTCAACTCCTAATATTAAATTGTTTCCATATTTTTATAAGAAGAAATCTTCCATATCTAATATTAAGGCAATGTCAAAGGTAGAAATACCTAATGGAGCAAATGAAATTGAAACCAATAAAGATACCTTAAAAATATATTAAATTAAAAAAGGACCTGAAAATTATGATGAAATGGATCTTATGATGTAAGAAGATAATGATTTTTATCCAGAATTTAATGTTTTCAAAGTTATAGAGATCTATAATAAATTTAGAATAAGAAATTTAAGTTTTAGAAAAAAAAGATAATTTCATGAAAAATTAAAATCAATTAGGTTATAAAAACAATTTAATCTAAAAATACTATCGCCTCGTTCATCCTAACAAATTATTTGAAATCAATTATATTTTATTGAAACCATACCCTTTTTTATATTTATTATTTAATATATATATATATATATATAATATTTATATATTATAATCAATATCAAATTAATAATTATTAAAATGTATAATAATAACTTTAATCAAAGTATTCTAACACTAAAATGTGTATCTCATTAGAATGTTTAAGCAAAATACTTTTGTTTAAGTCCATAATGTTAAAAAAGAAGACTTATTTGTTAAAATTGTCTAAATGAAATCCATTAATAACATTTTGATTAAGTTAAATAAATTTCAGATTTGTTCATATTATTAGATGAGAAATCTTAATAAGCAGAATAATTTTTACAATAATATTTCAATTAATTTAAAGAACTTTAAGAAATTTTTAGTAGAACTATAAAAGCATTACAATATACTTTTGGAAAACTATCAGATTAATTATTAGAAATGGATTAAAATTAAATTATATCATTTCTTGATCAATTAATAAATTTTGATGCAATTAATGTATTTTTAAGAGATTAAGTATCAAATAAATTATAAAAAATCTCTGAAATGTTAAGTTAAATATTTTAAAAGTTACCTTTACAAAACATCTCATATAGGATGTCAATATAATTAGAATAATATTTGTAATAGGGTAATAAATATTAAAATAATTTATTAGGTCAACAATTAAGGTAATAAAATCTTAATAAAGAGGCAGTTATCTTATTTGATAAAATACTATAATAAAATCCATATAATATTTAAATTATGTTTGAAAAAGGTAAAAGTTTTTTTATAATTTAATAGGAGAATGTTTAATTGCATAGAATTTATTACATGAAGCATAATTTCAATTTTAAGAAATTCTTTATTTAGATCCTCGAAACAAATAAGCGTTATATAGAAATGGTAAATTATATTTAATTCTATTTAGGTGATTGCTTACTTAAATGCAATAAATATGATGAGGCTATTATTTAATTTTAAAAATGTTTAAATATAGAATATAATAACTTTGAGGTTCTTTTAAGCTTTGGTAAATATGTCTAATATAAGAAGCTGAAACTTTAAGAAAAATGAACAAATTAATTAAAGCCAATTAATAATATGACGAAGCTATTATGATTAATTAATAGAGTTAATAGGCTTTTTATGGAAAAGGTATAAAACACTATGTAAATTTAAAGCGGAATGCTTAAAATTATTGAATGATTTGATTAATTCAGAGAAAATGTATAGGAAATCCTTGACAATAAATTCAAAACATTTTGATTCATTATTTGGTTTAGGTAAAATTTGAACTGATATTATTAGCGGATTGTTTAAAAAGATCTAAATAATTTTAGGAGGCTATCATATATTATGATCAGTCTTTGTAATTTAATTCATAAAATCCAGAATTATTGGAAGGAAAAGGTTATTTTCCATTTGAATTTAGCTACTTGTTTAAGATCTATTGGTTTTAATACTGAAGCAGTACCATTATATTAATAAGCATTAAAATACGATCCTTTTTCAGCTGAAATTTTGAAAGGACTTGGTTTTATCAATAATTAATTAATAGGAGCAAGCTTACGAAACTTACACTAATATAATGAGGCGATTAAATTTTTTGAAAGAGCGTTAGAAATCAATCCAAGTTCTTCGGTTTCTTACAGGGGAAAAGGTTTTAAATTTAAAGATAATAGCTGAGTGCTTGAGGTTGTTAGGAAAATGGGATGAAGCACTAGTAAATTATACTTAGGCTTTAAGATATGATACTTAATAGTTTGAAGCTGCATATTTTAAAAGTAAGTATAATTTTTAGGTTAATTATTAGCTTAGTTAGAATAAATTATATAATAATTGAAAAATCATGAATAAAATCTTTCTATTAATCCTCAAAACTTCAATTCTATTTTTGGAAAAGGTTTTATTAGAATAGTAATTTAGCTGAGTGCTTAAGATTGTTGAATGATTATGAAGAAGCTGAAAAATTTTATGCTTTGGCAATAAATCTTAATCCCTAATATTATAATTCATTCATAGGATATGGTATAAGCATAAAAAATAAAAAATTTAGGTTGGTGTTTAGCTATAAAAAATAAAATAAAGGAAGCATTAGATTAATATAATAAGGCATTAAAACTTAATGAATATGCAATCGATGCAATTTGGGGGAAAGGTTANAGGTTCTTTTAAGCTTTGGTAAATATGTCTAATATAAGAAGCTGAAACTTTAAGAAAAATGAACAAATTAATTAAAGCCAATTAATAATATGACGAAGCTATTATGATTAATTAATAGAGTTAATAGGCTTTTTATGGAAAAGGTATAAAACACTATGTAAATTTAAAGCGGAATGCTTAAAATTATTGAATGATTTGATTAATTCAGAGAAAATGTATAGGAAATCCTTGACAATAAATTCAAAACATTTTGATTCATTATTTGGTTTAGGTAAAATTTGAACTGATATTATTAGCGGATTGTTTAAAAAGATCTAAATAATTTTAGGAGGCTATCATATATTATGATCAGTCTTTGTAATTTAATTCATAAAATCCAGAATTATTGGAAGGAAAAGGTTATTTTCCATTTGAATTTAGCTACTTGTTTAAGATCTATTGGTTTTAATACTGAAGCAGTACCATTATATTAATAAGCATTAAAATACGATCCTTTTTCAGCTGAAATTTTGAAAGGACTTGGTTTTATCAATAATTAATTAATAGGAGCAAGCTTACGAAACTTACACTAATATAATGAGGCGATTAAATTTTTTGAAAGAGCGTTAGAAATCAATCCAAGTTCTTCGGTTTCTTACAGGGGAAAAGGTTTTAAATTTAAAGATAATAGCTGAGTGCTTGAGGTTGTTAGGAAAATGGGATGAAGCACTAGTAAATTATACTTAGGCTTTAAGATATGATACTTAATAGTTTGAAGCTGCATATTTTAAAAGTAAGTATAATTTTTAGGTTAATTATTAGCTTAGTTAGAATAAATTATATAATAATTGAAAAATCATGAATAAAATCTTTCTATTAATCCTCAAAACTTCAATTCTATTTTTGGAAAAGGTTTTATTAGAATAGTAATTTAGCTGAGTGCTTAAGATTGTTGAATGATTATGAAGAAGCTGAAAAATTTTATGCTTTGGCAATAAATCTTAATCCCTAATATTATAATTCATTCATAGGATATGGTATAAGCATAAAAAATAAAAAATTTAGGTTGGTGTTTAGCTATAAAAAATAAAATAAAGGAAGCATTAGATTAATATAATAAGGCATTAAAACTTAATGAATATGCAATCGATGCAATTTGGGGGAAAGGTTATATTTTAAAAGAACTTTAGGGGAATGTTTAAGATTGATGAAGGATTTCAAGCAAGCTTTGTATTATTATTAGAGAGTTCTAATTTTATATCCTAATCACTATATTTCATTAAGTGGTATAGGTAATTAATTACAAAGTATTTTAGCTGATTGTTTAAGAATGACTTAATAATTTGATTAAGCTTTAGTCTAATATGAAAAAACGCTGTTAATATAAAATAGGCAATCATGTCTATTATATGGAAAAGGTATAGATTTATTTAAAATAATAGCCATTTGTCTAATCAATTAAAGAAAGTATTCGGAAGCTTTATAAGCGCTAAGTTTAGCAAAAGGCTATGCACCTCCAAATTAATATATTGAAAAAGCAATTTGTAAGATATTATGGTTATCATTTAGAGTTTTGTAAAACTCTATAATAAATTCCTTAAATTTGTTAGATTATACTTAGTCTTAATGGAGTAGGTATTAACTAAAATTAAAATTAATGATATGAATATCAATAAATATATGAAAAAATAATATGTCTAATTTCATATTCTTATATATTTAATTCAATAATAATAGTATTGCTATATAAATAAATATTTATCAGAATGAATAAACTTATTAATATAATATTAGCCATTAAATGCAATAAGAAATAAATAATTAACAACATTGGAAATGGAATTCAATAAAGATGAAGAATTAAATATAATTAATTTGATATTGATATTCATTTTCATAATATTCATTCTTATACTCTTCTTTAGACACCTAAGATAAAAAATATTATAACCTTTAGGAGGTGGGATGAAATCAGTATAGAGTGTGTTATACAAATTGGGATAGAGAGCCCAAACAGCTAGAAGAATTATTTATTTTTCTTACCCCAACATCCAACTGCGGGTAGTATTCCCAAGAATCTCTTACTTTTGGCAGTCCAAGCCTCATAACCAAGTTTATAAAATGTAGGTAAATACATCAATAATTAAATTAATTATAAATATAAATTAAACTGCTAATTTCTTAACAATTATTTGAAAATGAATAAAAATTATGTTTCTCAGTATTATTGATAAAAGTATGAGAAGAAAATAATATAAATATCATTCTACACATAGAAAACAGTTTATTAATTATTGATTTTTTTATTTATTTTAATAATTTGAAGTTTCCCTATCTATTTTAATGATTTTTTTATTTAATTATGTTTCTTTTTAAACTAATTATGATTGAGGATAATTAAAATATAATGTTTTGAATTTATGATTTCTAACAATTAAGTCTCCAACTGTAAAATGTAATAAAGGTATTTTTTCTTAAAATTTTGACTTAATTTAATCTAAAACTCTATTACGAGTAATATCAACCCACTTATATACTTAATCTTCTTATTCTTATAGTAAACTGGAATCGAATTGTATAATATTCTTATTGAATTCTTTTTATATTGTAGATAATTTAGATAAAATTTATAATTTATCTTATAGTAATTCTTCTTTTTAATTAAAGTAATTATATGCTTAACTTAGATCTATAGATAAAATTGTTATTGGTTTTCTACTAATAATAACATTTTAATCATTATATAAAGAAGTGCAAATATCAAAAATAACTTTAGAATCAAATTATTTTGGATTTTATATTTATTAAAAGATGAACAATATTGTTTCAACATCTGTTCCATATATTGGTAATCTATATTGAAATTAATCAGGAGATATTTTATGAAATGGATTTGAGATATCAATTGAATCAAAAATGAGTATTTTAATTATTTTAAATTTGCTAAAATCTCTTAATAATCTATTTAGTTTAATACCTCCACATTCTATTTATGGAGATTATTATTTAGATATATAAATTGCATCATAAATGTAACCATTATCTGATAAGTATTTTTACCATACTAATGCAAATGTCTAATTAGTAAATAGGAAAACTATTAAATAAGCTTTAGAAAGTCTAAATAAAATATAAAATAAGAATATATTATACATTCTTAGAGTATTTTTGAGATCACTTCTTAGTGTACATGGACAATAAGGACTATCACATTGTTCAATTACACTACCAATTAAAAATGAATGACAGATTTTTAGATCAGTTTTAAGATCCCAAAAGTTTCTTTTTGATTGCAATAATAAATCTAAATCAATCAAAATTGTAATATACTTTCAAAATTCAAAATAATAACTTTATCCAAGTATTCCTCTCTATTATTAATATTAATATAGAGACATTTAATCATAATACCTTTTTGTAATTCTTCATATTATTTATTTAAATAACGTAGTTGTATTGCATGTTCTAAACTTTTTTGTTTCTTAATAATAGGTTTAGCTTTTAATTAACGACTTTGTAATTTCATTCTAACAACTTATTAAGTAGATGATAATTATGGTAATATTTATTATTCTTTTTGCATAAGTTTAAGATTAGTAGTACATCGTTTATTTATTCCTTTTTTATCAACTTATTAAATTTATGAATCTTCAATATTATTGTTATCATAAGTTATTCTTCTCTAACTTGGTATTTATTAAACTGAATTTGAAACAAAGACTTATTCTTCAGGTTCAGAATGTTTGCTATCATATCTCTATTTATTTCTTGTTTCTAAAATGCTAAAGTTAGCATTCTTAAAGACAAAATATCCTCGATAAATATTTTATTTGAAATGACTGTGTTTATTAAAATAAAGGGAATTCGAGATTGCATTATTTTACATATTAATTTTATTATAAAATGCTAATTTTCAATTAGGTTTTCTGAATTATGATGAAAAAAAGTCTTATTTAGGTTATTATTTAGAAACCTAAGTGAGCATTTATTGAATAAATGAATTTCTTGTACTTCCTGAATTTTTTAAGTTACTCATACCAATACCACTACCAACTCTTTTTAATTTTTATGTTTTTGGTGAATTTTAACATGATGCAGCTATACTGTTTTTAAATAAAAATTCACCTTAACCTGCTCTATCTGTTAAACATACAAATTCTTATTATGTATCCAATAAAGGGGAATTTAATTGTTTTCCTTCAGATTAATTCTTTTTATGTTTTGTTTATTTTACTAAAATATTTTAGTATTATAATTATTACATTTTTAATTCTATAAATTGTCATTAATATTAATATTAATATTGATGATTTTATCTTAATTAGATGTATATCGGATATGAATATTTGGTTATGTTGCCTTTCTGGTTGTTTAAGATCCAGCAACTTTAATAGTTTTTTGACTCTATTATTATTATTATGATATTTATGAATGGGTTGAAATCTAATTTGAAGTTTACTTCACTTAATTGGTTTTAAATTCAAATTAAGATCCTCTTGATGCAGTTGGACTATTTCTATTAGAAAAGAAATTTTTAGTTCCAGATATAGGTCTATGAGTTTATGATCCAATTTTCCATTTTAATTCTTATTCTGTGGGATCTTCTTCAATAAATATTTTAGAAATTTATTTAAGATTCAATTTGCCTAAAAATTTATTATAAAAATACCAATAGATATTTGATTATTTGTTTAGGTTTTTTAAGTATTATTATTTGATGTTGGAGATAGAACAGGATTCTAATGTTAACGATTAAGATTTAATGGTATTTATTAAACATTTTTTCTTAAATCTTTTAAAAATAATTGAGTTGATATTTTAGGTTATTGTTACACTATTGTTTTTGATTTAGGATTTATTGATTATTTTATATAATCATTTTAATCCATTCTTATATTACTTTACAAATTTTCATTACTTTATTTATTCTTCAATAGTGAATCAACTTAATTCTTTATAAAATTTACATTAATATCTCTTGATATCTTATTCATTTACTATATAAGTTCTGTATTCTATTTAGAATGTTATGAACCCAATCTTTATTTAATATCATCATTTTACTTTTGAATAATTGTCTAAATTAATTATTCATGAGGTTAACTTAATTTTTTAGTTTATTTTTATGTTTCAGACACTTTATCTCTTTATATCTTCTATGATTATTAATTAAGATAAGTTAAAAATTTATCTAGTTTCATTTCATCACCTTTCCCTTAAGAAATTAATAATGAAGATTATTCCAAACCAATATTTCCTAATTATTTACAAATTTCTTATAAAGTACAGGATATATCATTCTTCTTTTTATTAATTTAAGATGAATTATTAAGCCAACTTAAATCCTTTAAAATTTGTATATTCCTAATTCTTTTTACAGTATTTGGAGATTCTTATTGTCTTTAACTCTCTTAAGAATTTGCTGGCGATGGTCTTTCTCCTACAATACCTTTTGGTGGTCTATTAGGATTTTTCTTGTTCTCCTCTTCTATCAGATTAGCTATTCTATAATATTCATATTTGCGCTTCTTATCATAATATTTATTCAACAACGTTGCTATTGGTTCCATAAAGATTCGTGCTATATCTGTATGAAACTCTGTTAAATGGTTCAATTTACTTTATAGTATTCAGTTAACAACTGGATTTTCTATGGATACTCATCTTCATAATAGTACCTCTTCAAATATTCATCCTTATATGAAACCATATACTTACATCATCATCATACCCAACCCAATCCTTATAACGTATCACTGCCTTTGATGAAGCATCTCCAAGTATTTCATTGACATCTCTAGTGTAATAATAATTCTAAGATTGACAATATTTTTGTAACAAGTTTTTATTGATCCAAACAATAGAATTTACTATCAATTCAGATTGCCTTATTCTCTTCAATGCTTCATTTCCTATACTCTATTTTTATTTGTTTTTCATTCTTATTTGTTTTATATAAATATTTTATTAAAAAGAATAAATATATAAATTTAATCTTATTCAAACTACCATTATTAAATATCAATAAATCTATATATTCATATAAATAGATATTACAAATAAATTAAAATTATTGATCTTGAATAATGAGTAAAATCAATTATAGAAAATTTAATGAAATTTTATTGATTATTTAATATAAAAATATGTAAAAACCAGAATAAGTCATGCAAGATTTTGCTAATTTATTAGATAAATGTATAGTTCTTATAAAATATTAAAGATAGAAATGATCCTGAAGCTTGGTCTCAAATCTATAAGGTCATAAATTATAAGCCAACACAAAATATACCAAAAGGTTAATCGTTAGACCCTGAAAAAATAAGAGAATTTTTGAGACTTGGTAAACCTGGTACTTAAGACTTCGATCCTTATGATGACATGATATATTTCGATGATAATAAGGTTAAAGAAATAGTTTTGAGACAAAATTTTCTAATTGCAAAAGGTTTATACGTTTTTTCAATAATAAGGTTACTTTGATCCAAAAACTTATTTTCCTTCTATCAATTTAAGTAGTTTAGATGATACATCTTTTGATGAAAAAATTAAAGGTAATAATTATTGCATATATTTTATTAAGAAATGCTTAAAATACCTGATCAAATGGAGAAAAAAAATTGAAATTTATATCAAAATTAAGTTAAATTGCATGAAAAGTACTCCTTATTTTATATATTTTAATAATTATAAATATTAAAATATTGTTATTGCTCTAAATTTGGAGGTTTAGTTTGAATTAATTCATTTTTAAGTATTATAATTCTCTAAAAATTAGTCTATAATATTTAGTTCAAAATATTATAAAAATAACAACTCTTTTCTTATTAAAAATAAGTATTATTAATTATGCACTAAAATTCTGGTTTGACTTATCATAATGTTGATTCATATATAGAAACTGAAGGATTTTTTTGCTTTGAACAATTTACTAGACTTGATTTAAAGAAAAAAAATTGGGAGGAAAGTTTAAATAGTTTAACAGATGATTTGATTGCACTTAAAAGTGAATATGTAGATCTAGAAAATCTTGAAATATTTATTGCACTTTTAGAATTCTTGGAAAAAAATATCCAAGAATCAGAGGTAGGGTCCCCATATTATTAATTAAGACAGGGTATGAACTAAACATCAATTAATAATTATATAAATGATATGCTTGAAAATATTGAAAAGAGTCTTACTTGTGATTCAGATGATTATAGAGCAATAGATTTCCCGGGATTATTAAAATTAGAGGATATTTTAAGTTTTTTAAAGGAATCTAAATACATTAAATCTTATATGTAAAAAGTAGATTACTTACTTCAAATTTAATAAGAAAAGAAATAATAATAGTAATAAATAAAAAAGAAAAAATGATCAATCATTATTTATATAATAAATAAAGACTAGTTAATATTTTAATATTCTTAAGGTATTCACTATCATACTTATTCTTTATTTATAGAAAATTAGTATGATATTGAATATAAATACTTATATTCTTAGATTAAGTTTATGAATTCTTAATAGAACATAAAATATTTATTATATGAACTTAAACTTTAACATTAGTTAATATTTCTATTTAATTAAATTTTATATATATCAAAAGTTGATGATTAGTATTTACTATTCATTTTGTTATTTATTTATATAATAAAAAAATAAATGATATTTTTTAAGATATAATTTCGCATATTTTTGATATATTATAATTTCATCTGATTTAATACAATTCTCTAAGTTTTGGATCTTCAAGTTCTTTATTTATTTCATCTCTCATTTTAAACTTTTATGGTTTACCTGTTACTGTATATGGAAAATCATTAACAAATTTAACATATTTTGGAATTTTGTAATGTGCAATTTTTTTATGACAAAATTAATAGACATCTAATCCAGTAAGTTGTTCTGCTTCTTTTTTCATTTTAATTAATGCTACAACTTCTTCTCCATATTTTTCATCAAAACAACCAACTACTTAAACTTATTCAACTCCTTATAAATGAGATAAGTAATCTTCAATCTCTTTAGGATATATATTTTCACCACCTCTTATAATCATATCTTTGATTCTACCAACTATTGCAACATAACCATTTTTATCCATTGTAGCTAAATCTCCACTATGTAAAAATCCATTTTCATCAATAGTATTTTTAGTAGCTTTATTATCACCCCAATATCCTTTCATAACTGCATATCCTCTTGAACAATATTCACCTGGTGTATCATAAGGTACTATATTTCCATTTGAATCAACTATTTTAACTTCCATATTCATAGGTAATCCAACTTTGCTAGTTTTTATTTCAAAAGAATCTGTAGTTTTAGTCTATGATGTTACAGGACTTGTTTCAGTTTAACCATAACAATTTGAGATATCTCTAACTCCTAAAACATTGATAATTTATTTCATTAATGCTTCTGATGCCAAAGATCCTGCAATTAAACCAGTTCTTAATGTAGATACATCATATTTTTATTTATGTCTCTAATATTCATTCAGATATTCAATAAACTATATTTATAGATATAATATATAATACCATTGTTGGAACTCCATAAATTGATGTACATTTATAATTTGTAATTGCTTCTAATGTAGCTCCTGCACTAAAGCCATCACTTGGATAAACCATTGTAGATCCATAATTGATACATGCCAAATTACCCATTACCATTCCAAAGCAATGATATAAAGGTACAGCTATAGCTACTCTATCATTTTATGTGTAATGTACTCTTTCCCCAACATATTTACCATTATTCAATATATTTAAGTGACTTAAACAAGCTCCTTTTGGTGCTCCTGTTGTTCCAGATGTAAATTAAATATTTGTAATATCATCTGGATCTTAATTAGACATTCTTTAATCAACTTCATTCAAATGAGAAGTTCCAAAAATAGAAAAGAGTTCTTTAAAATTAAAAAACCCCTTTTTATGAATATCATCAATCAATATCACACCTAATTATAGTGTATATAAGAATACTTTTCAATGATGGAATTCTCTATGAATTNTAATTCTCTAAGTTTTGGATCTTCAAGTTCTTTATTTATTTCATCTCTCATTTTAAACTTTTATGGTTTACCTGTTACTGTATATGGAAAATCATTAACAAATTTAACATATTTTGGAATTTTGTAATGTGCAATTTTTTTATGACAAAATTAATAGACATCTAATCCAGTAAGTTGTTCTGCTTCTTTTTTCATTTTAATTAATGCTACAACTTCTTCTCCATATTTTTCATCAAAACAACCAACTACTTAAACTTATTCAACTCCTTATAAATGAGATAAGTAATCTTCAATCTCTTTAGGATATATATTTTCACCACCTCTTATAATCATATCTTTGATTCTACCAACTATTGCAACATAACCATTTTTATCCATTGTAGCTAAATCTCCACTATGTAAAAATCCATTTTCATCAATAGTATTTTTAGTAGCTTTATTATCACCCCAATATCCTTTCATAACTGCATATCCTCTTGAACAATATTCACCTGGTGTATCATAAGGTACTATATTTCCATTTGAATCAACTATTTTAACTTCCATATTCATAGGTAATCCAACTTTGCTAGTTTTTATTTCAAAAGAATCTGTAGTTTTAGTCTATGATGTTACAGGACTTGTTTCAGTTTAACCATAACAATTTGAGATATCTCTAACTCCTAAAACATTGATAATTTATTTCATTAATGCTTCTGATGCCAAAGATCCTGCAATTAAACCAGTTCTTAATGTAGATACATCATATTTTTATTTATGTCTCTAATATTCATTCAGATATTCAATAAACTATATTTATAGATATAATATATAATACCATTGTTGGAACTCCATAAATTGATGTACATTTATAATTTGTAATTGCTTCTAATGTAGCTCCTGCACTAAAGCCATCACTTGGATAAACCATTGTAGATCCATAATTGATACATGCCAAATTACCCATTACCATTCCAAAGCAATGATATAAAGGTACAGCTATAGCTACTCTATCATTTTATGTGTAATGTACTCTTTCCCCAACATATTTACCATTATTCAATATATTTAAGTGACTTAAACAAGCTCCTTTTGGTGCTCCTGTTGTTCCAGATGTAAATTAAATATTTGTAATATCATCTGGATCTTAATTAGACATTCTTTAATCAACTTCATTCAAATGAGAAGTTCCAAAAATAGAAAAGAGTTCTTTAAAATTAAAAAACCCCTTTTTATGAATATCATCAATCAATATCACACCTAATTATAGTGTATATAAGAATACTTTTCAATGATGGAATTCTCTATGAATTTAGATTACCTGGTTAATCTAATTCTGGTGCTAGTTCTTTTATCATAGAAACATAATTTGAATGTTTGAATGTAGATCTCAATATCAAGGCTTTACATCCAACTTTATTCAATGTATATTCTAATTCATTAGTTTAATAGGCTGGATTAATATTCACCAATATTAAATCAGCTAAAGCTGCTGCAAATTATGTTAAAGCCCATTCCACATTATTAGGTGAAAAGATTCCTATTCTATCACCTTTCTCTAATCCTAAAGCTATAAAGGCAGCAGCCAACTCTCTTGATCTCTTGTAGAATTCACTATAAGTCAATTGAACATCTTGCAATTACGAAACCACCTGAAATCCTTATATAGCATAGTTACGGCTAAATTATCAGGGTATTTCTCAGTTATATCATGTAATTGCTACCCAACTGTTTTATAAGTTAAGGGAATATTTGAGGCACCATGAAAGTAACTCTTAGCGTATCTTATTCCTTTGAATAGCATATTAATAATTAATAAAATGATATGTATTATCTAATAATAATGATGCAACATAGAATTAATGTATTAAATATATCACTTTAATATAATTATATATAGAATTACTTTGCATAAGTTTCTCTACTATATCAATTAAATTTCAATTCATTTTGCAACTTATTATTGCTTTCAATTTGATATCTCAGTATTAATAATGAAAATAATTAATGAAATTTATAAAAACGAATATTTTAATTATATATACAAAGATATAACAAAAATCTTAAAATAGATCATAAAAGCATTTTTATGTTATGCAATCCAAATAAGATAAATAAAATACCACCACAGAGATGTATCTAAATTTTAAATCTTTTAAATATAATACATATTTTTCAGATATTTTTGATGATATCATTTTTCCTCCAAGTACAGCTGTACTTGTACAAATAAAATGACCAAGTAGTGCACCCACTAAAACTACAAAAGTATCTTCAGTTGCCAATGCAATAGTTGTAATCTAACTTCTATCTCCCCATTCGGCTAAAAAGGTTAATACTATTGCAGCTCTTAAAATTTCCAAATTTGAAACATTCTTTGTATCTGATTATTTGCTAAGTTTTGACTTAACCTTATTCACTTCTTAAACAGCTTCCTATTCTTCATCATCATTTTCATTATTTTCTGAACTCCAAAATTCTCTCAACAATTTTTATCCAAAATAAAAAAACATAACAGAAGCTAATGTATGTGTATATGTAGGATTCAAAATTTAAGGTAACAAAAATCCAAAGAAACATGATAATAGAGTCATTAGAACCATAGCTGTATAAGAACCTATAAATACCAAACTCATTGAATAAGTCATTCCCAAAATTGCTGTAATGAAGAATGTCTATCTTAAATGTATGTTAAATACCTTATCACCTATTTCTGATACAATAATAGAGGAAAATGATGAAGCAAATGGAGATAATTCAGAAAATAACATTAATTAATTATTATGAATATAAATTAAAGTTTTATTCGTTTTATCCATTATTTTTATGGATCTGGAAGAATAGTAAGGTCTTATTCCAAATATAACACCTGCCAAACCACTAAAATAAATTCGTAAGGTCAAATACACCAAATCAACCTACTTCAATTATTTGATTGCAATTTTAGCATTAATAATACTTGCACTTATGTCATATATTGTAATAGATATAACTGGTTATGAAATTATGCATCTTACCTTTAAATCATCCACTAAGTAATTAAATATAACTAATTAAATACCTATCTAAAATGAAGACTAATCATAAATTGATACTATGGATTATACATCTTAAATAGATAATTTATTATGGGATGATGCTAATAATAATAAAGAGAATCAAGAAGTATTAAATGAAGAATTTATTGATGAGAATTTTTCAAATTAAGATGAAATTAATTAAATAGAGGAACCATCTATTTAAAATTAAAATACTGATATTAACACATTTTAAAGTAATACTTTAGAAATTAGTGATTAATAAGAAGTTGAAGATTAAGTTTAAATACTTAATGATGATTAATAACTTGAATAATATTCTTTATTGTAATCAGGATCTAGAATAATAACACCAAAAATAGATGATTCAAAATATAATTATGTAGAATTACCTAATAAAATGAAAATTCTATTGATTTAAAATGATGATGAGAATGCATAAATATATTTAAATGATTTTAAAGGATATTGGTAAACTAATTATTTTGTTAAATGTGATTAATGTAAGATTACTGTCAAAGAATAACAAACATAATATTTTATATAAACAAAATCTGATCAAATTTTAAATTCATTTACTGAATTAAGTAAAGCTTTTGCATCAGAAACTCCACAATTAAAATAGATAAATTATTAGAAAACTTCTTGGGAAGAGTTACTTACATAAATATCTAATGAAAATCATCCATTATCATCTAAATATTCTAAATCATCCACATTTTAATTATCTCCAAATTAAATTGTATTGATAATCAAAGGAAAATTTAATTCAGATGAATTAATGAATGGAATTGTATAAAGTGATATTGTATTATTAAGAGATAAAGATATAGAAGAGTTGGAAAATATTGAAATTATTAATTAACATGAAAGTATCATTAAATGGAACAATTAAAAAGATTTAAATTCAATTAAAATATTATATGAATTAGAAAATAGTAAAGAATTGAATTTTATAGATTATTTTATATAGACCTCTCTATAAAATTATATCATAAACAATAAATTAGGTCTAGATGTCAAATCAAATGTGATATTAGATTAAAATAATAGATAATTGTATTAAATTTAAATAGCATTACCTTTCTAAGATTAAATGGATTATGATCAAAGAGAATTAGCATATAGACTAAGTAAAATAGTCATTAATTTTGCTAATTCTTTATAAATATAATTAATAAATAAAGATAATGAATTATCAGATTATTGTAAATAGATGATAGATTAATTGTAATAAATTAATAATTTATAATTTGATTATGATAATTAAGAGTAAGATTATATGGAAATAGCTAAAAACCTTAAATAAGATTTAATAGAAGAAGTACTTCATTATAAATTTTTGGTCTAAATAGTTCCTGAATCCTTAAAGAAAACATTAGATAATTTACAATCTACTAAAAATATGATCATTATTGTAAGTGATTCTTAATATCATACTGAATATAGTTTTTTATAAATTTCAAAAGGTTCTTCTACTTAGGATCTACTTTTTTTAACTTAAGATGAATTAGATATAAATAAGAATGGTATTTCTTATTCTTTAAAAGAAATAACTGAATAAACTAAGCAATTTATTGAAAAAACTGAAGATGAAATCATATTTGTTTTTCCTCAAATTAATTAATTTATACCTTAAAACTTAGATTTAGTTTAATCAACTTAATCATTTGATATTAATGATTAAGTTGAAGTAATTGTAGATGTTTCTAAAAAATTACCAAAAATAAATGCTGATATAACTATTTTTACTTATGGATAATTTATATATGCATAATATTTATATGAAAGAATCATTATGGAATATTAAGATGCAATTAATGTAGGTTATGGAATAGATGTGAATTAAAATTAATATTTTTAAATTTAATTATAAGGATGGTCAGATCATTATACAAATATATTCAAAGGAATTATGGAAATTATAAAAGAGAAGCCAAATGAAGAATTAAAAAGTTAATTATAATATAAATTTGATATGTTACCAGAACATTTAAAATTAATTAATTCTAAAATTGAATCAATACTTATTGCTAATTATAAAAAACCTTAGTTTGGATCTGTTGGATAAAATTATAAAATGAAACTTATAGGAAACATTTAATAAAATTAAGCACAAGCATTAGATTAAATGCTTCATAAAGCATTAAATTTTAAATAAAAATTAAAATAGGATCCAATATAAATTTATAGTATTAGAAATAAAGAAATCAATTATCAATTAAAAGCAAAAGATAAATGGCATTTATTAATAAACTATTATTAATTTTCTTAATTAAATTAAAATTAATAAAAATTACTTAATAGAATACAAGAATATGTTTAAATTTAATCACAAGAATAACATATTATTTTTGAGAAAAGAACTATTGGTTGTACATAAGGTTTTTTCTTAATTGTACAATCTTCTAAAGATTTAAATGATTAGATAGAAAAATTAGATAAATTAATTTAATAATCACTTAATGAATTAAATAAAGAAGATGGGTCTAATAAATAAAGTAAAAAATATTCTTAATTCTGGAAAAAATAATCAGGAAAAATTACATTCTTTATTGATAATTAAGATAGAAATACAAATATGGAGAATTTAGAATTAATTCAATGTAAATGAAAGAAAAGCATCTTCTATTTTTATTTTGTACAAAAATATTCAAATATAATAATTAATATATTTTTTAATGAGTACCTTATTGATTTATTCCTTCACTTTTTTAATTGATTATAATTTGAATAATGTATTACTTATAAGTAATATAAAATATAAATTATAGCATTTTACAAAATTTTTATTTTAACTAATATTATTTGTTAAATTAATTTCTTCGTTAAACTACTTAAAAGTATAAATCTTATTATTTTATTTTATCTTCTTATTTCTATATATCTAAACTTCATCCTAAATATATATATTTTAAAAAACTAAACTTCATTTTTGAATTAATAGGACTTGATTCAAATGAATATTGATATTAATAAAAATATCTTCTTAATATTTTCTAATTCATAATGTATAATATTGCAATAATGATTTTTTAAGAATTCTATTATATAGACTAATTAATACTATAATTGTATATAGATTCTATACAAGGACATATTAACCTTAAAATATTTGCCAAAATTGCAAAATTCAATTCCTATAAATTTGTTCATATATAAGGACTTATAGTTTATATTCTAAAAGAAATACCATTAATATTAGTTGGTTTTTCATTTTTTATTCAATAATCAATAAAATTGTCTCTTTGTACAAATCAAAAAAAAATGAAGAAATGTTGTAAAAAGGGCAAATATATGAAAAAGCAGAGGAAAATTTTAATAAATAATATAAAAATCTAATTAGTCTCTGTATTTTCTTTTTTTTATGTTCATATCTAGTCAGAGCACATCCTAAAACTTCTCCTCTAAATTAATTCTGAATCCATTGTTAAAGAAATTCTTCTTTATGATTTTGGAGGAGTTATAGCTTAGTCTAAGGAATACAATGAGTTTCTTTAATTAGAATGCTTTTCAACTTAGATCAATTGATTAATCCCTATTTAATCTAAATATGACACAATCGATTATTCAATATCATTTGTAATTGGAAGCCAACCTTGTGTAAATTGTTCACTTTTGGTTGAGTTTTCATTTGATTTCTAAAATTAAGGTGATTGCATAAATATTATTTTATATTTTTAATTATTTCAGATGATTTCGAAAATCATTTATTAATAATAAGTATATACTTAATCTCCTCATATAATTGAAATTTCTTTTAGTTTGAAAATTAAAAGTTGGTTCATAATAATTATTATTAAATTTTATTAATATATTAATCAATATGAGGCTTTGTTGGTAATTATAGATACTATTCATATAATACTAAAGCTTATTGATAAGAATTTTAGTAACCAAATTTTTAAATGGCTTAATATATTTTAGAAATCTATAATCTATCTTAATCTGTAAGTTTTGATCTAGAAACTTTAACAGCCTTATTAATATAATCATATAATTCAAGTAGAGCATACTCATTATTTTTTATTTATTCAATTTTCTATTCAATTTTAAAAATAACTGTTTTAATTGTAGAAATATCATTAGCATTAATGATCTCATTTAAATTATCAATAGTTTTTTGTAAGATTTATTTAGTTTCAGGTAATTTAAGTACACTACATTCAATTTAATAAATACGTTAATTAATAACTAAGTGCATCTTTTAAAGTATTCAATTTAATATTCAATTTTTCAATATTATTTTCTTTTATCTAATAAAATGAATCATCAGATTAGAAATTTTGTATGACAGATAATTCTAAATTTTTTGATTTTTTAAACTAATAAAGAAAATCCTCTACTAATGCACACATTTATTATAATTCTGGTTCATGTTTTGATTTTCCTATTTAAGAATACATAGAATATTCAAGAGCAATTTATGAAACTTCTTCTTATATTTTCTTTTCATTTTAACTCACACTTTCTCTATTATTTTATATAAGGTTTAACACTTTATCTTTTAGATTTGTGATGCCTATAAATACAGATGGATCATCACTAATTATTGAAAAATCACTGAGAACCTCAATAATATAAATGAATTTTTGATACATTAGATAAATTCTATTCATTAATTACTAATTTTTCATCTTTCTCATTTTCTGTTTTTCTTTACATTTTATATGATTAACCAAATGTAATTCTTTCTTTATCATCTGTTTTCTTCTCTGATTACCTAAATGAATATTTATCAACAATTTCTTAAATTGAAGGTCTTGGATTACTATCACTTGTTAAGTTAACTTCTTAAAAATTTGGATTATTGAATAGCATTTTTATTAATTTATTGAAATTAAATATTTCAAATCAGTTAGATTATGAAATAAAAATGATAATTTATATGATTATACTTTAATAAATTAGATAACAAATAATAAATCTTAAAAAAATAAAGATAAATAAATCTAAAATATAAAGAATATTATAATAACAATTTTATATTTAAAAGAAATCTATCTTTATTATATATTATTAAAATAAATGATAAAGATTATTTTTTATAATGATCTATTGAATATTAAAGTGAAATTGAAGTTTAATATTAAAAAATATAATAAATATCAAGATTCTATAATTTTCCTATAAAAATTGAGGGTAATATTCATAAATTGATAAGTAATAATATAATTATGTATAATTAATATTCTTAAAAATATATTCCTTAATAATGCTAAATAATTGATCTTTACAATAAATATAGAGATAATTATATAAAAATTGAATCATTATAATAAATAATTTAAATATACTTACCTAACACAGAATGATTGGAAACTAAAATTCTTAATTGTTATTGTTAAAGGAAGAAATGAAAGGAAATATCAATCTACTTACATAATGCAAAAAATCTGAAATCTTGGAATTTAATCATTATTATGTCGGTTTGCAGTATCTATTTTGTTTGGTTCATAAACTCAAAATTCTTATAATTGATAAGACCTATGCATATGAGAATATGAGTTTGTTATAGAGTCAATATTTGAATGTTCATTATGGTAATTAATAAATTTAAACATTATATGATGAATACTATTATTCAGAAAAGAAAGCACTTTCAATTTATGAAGAAATGAAATAAAAGATAATTGAAAAATATTCTGAATAAAATACTCCAATATTAAATATTTCAAATGAAATTAAAGGTCTTCAATGTTAATATTAGTTTAATTTATTTAATATTAACATCAAAGATTAACATAAACTAGATTATAGTAATGTGGAATAGGATTTATCAAATAATGTTCTTTTTATGAAGGCTATGTAAGAATGTTATTCAAATTATGATAATGTGCTTGACTCATTTATAGCCATTTAAACATAACAACTAATTATAAAAACTTAGTTACATGAAATAATAATTATATAATATTGGTTATTGAAGACTTAAATTTATGAATCAAAAGAAAAAGATAATAAAAATGATACAGAATTAGTTATTTCTAAATACAAGAATTTGAATTACTTTTTAATTGTAAATTAATAAAAATATAAAATTGAAGTTAATTAATAAAAATTAGAACTTTTTATTTGCTTGTTAAATAATAATTAGTTTGAAGAATTTATAGAATAAAAAATTTAAACTGCAAATTATTTTGAACCCTTAAATTTAGAATATTAGCATTTAGATGATTCAATATTGAAAGTTTAGTATTATTAATTTAAAGATTGCACTTTCAGAATAGTTTAAAAACTAAATGATGAATTTAATTAATTAATTTATTCAATAGAAATTTTGGGAATAGAAAATAAGTTTTATTCAGTAATTGACACTGAAAATATTCAATAACTTGAATTGAGATTAAAAGGGTTTCCTTAATAAGATTTATCAATAATATTTAAGGAACCTGATCTTATTTATAAATACTTTATGAAAAAGATCTATCATAATATAAACCCTGAGAGTGATCCTTATATTCTTAGTAATAAAATTAAAGTAGGATCTATAATTCTTTCAGATAGATCAATTTATTAACATGCAGCACTCTATTTGGGTTGTGATTTAGTTTTTCATTACACTAATGAGTAATTCGATAATATTAATTAAACTAGAAATGGACACTTTTTCAAACCAGAGAGATTTGTTGTATTTATGAAAGGTACATCAGTCTTAACAGAATTATAATTGATATTTTTATTAAGAGATAAATAAGAATTATTAGAAAAAGCTTTAAAGAAGTCAAATGAAAAAATATAATTTGATTTAACAAACTATAATTGTGAACATATGGTATTTGAAATATTAACAAATTTCAAATATTCATCTTAAATTGATTCAAATATTTTTAAGAATGTTGGAGCAAATGTAGCAAAATATTTTGGATTTTTAGGTTCATCTTAATCATTCTAATCAAATTGAAATTAAAATTGATATACAATTATAAATATAATATTATAAATTGCTATTTCAATTATTAAAAGTAATTCAATAATTATTAGATAATATATTATATGTATTATTATATTGAAATACAAAAATTGGAAATTTTAATTATTATAATATTTACTTAAATATAACTTATTAATGGACGCTATAAAAAACTTTGCCAATAACCTTACAAATAGAGATCAAAATAATAATACAAATGGGAAAATTGTTCCCTTAGAAGAAAAAGATAGAGAACCATTATCTTAAAAAAATCCATTGGGTAGGTAATTATAATTGTTTAATGAAGTATGGCTGATGAATTATAAATGGCAGCTAGTAAAGGAATTTAAAAACTTATATAATCAGTGGATAATGCAAAAGCTGATGTAAAATAAGGTTTTACTTAATTGGATGATAAGTAATTGAATTTTGTAAAAGAATAGATTAAAGCTGATGTTAAAGTAGTACACTCATTAAATCAATGTATGGGCAAGATCAAAGGTGTTATCATCAGTAATCATAGTGATTGAGAAATTTAGACCTACAGTTAAAGAAGGACTCAAAGATCCAGATATGTGTTAGTGTGTGAAGAATTTAGTATTTTAAAGAGATAATTTAATAGGTTGATGATACTGTAGATGCAACTTGGCCAGAAATAGTAGATGAAGTTAAATATCAATTGATGTTGTAAATAGGAGATCCTTACACAGAAATAGAAGAGAAAAAACAAACACTTGCATTTTTATACCCTTTTGTTTGGATAAGGAATTGGTATCTCTATTCAAATTATCCTTTTGATAGAAGTGTTTGGAGATAATATAAAACTATGTATATAAATGAGGATTTATTAATATAGATCTTATTGGTTTTGGTATATTGTATCACTTATTCCATTTTATGGTGTTTCATAATATTTCTATGTTTTGGATTTTATAATGATTGATAAAGGAGATGAATATTAATTGGTGAAATTTATTTTAAGTTTTAAAACGTAAAAATAATAAATTAATATAGAATGTTCTTTATAACTTAAGGAGTAATGAAAGCTTTGATAGGGTATTTTATGCTTTATGCTTGTACAACTATGAACTATATTGATAATGCTTATTAAGATGATTGTACAAGAAAAGGTCCAGGATCTAGTATTGAAGTATTTTCAGAGGTTATTGGATAATTTGTCCAAGTATTTCTTATTTGGCTTGCCTTTTTCCTTTTGTCATGTTCTAAATAAAAGGGAAAACCAATTTTTCAATATGATGACACTCCTTAAAAAATAGAGGGATGTTTTGAAAGAGGAGGTCGTCTAAAGTACTTTATGTTTTGGGATATATTTGCATTAGGAAGTAGTATAGGATTGTTTTGGTTAGTGTATTTGACATAAGATACAAGACCTAATTTTGATAATTCAGGAGATTTTGTAATAATAAAAAAAATAATAAAAAATAGATTTATTTTACTGAAATTTGTTATGGAATGTTAAGTTTTCCATTTTTAATATTTAATGTTCCTTTTGTAAATGGTAGATTGACAAAGGCCAAAGCAACAGCTTATGATAGAAAAGGTAATTGTATACCAGCAATTGATGGATTAAGAAAAAAAATAAAGAGTAATTAAGAAGAGGAAACAAATCTTTTGTTGAATACATTGACAATAGATGTAGGTGAAGTATTTGATGGTTGATTAATAAAATTTTATATAATTTTTTTATAAGAAATTTTAATTAATGAAAAAATCAAACCCTAAAGATAAAATGGAAAATAAAAATTAAGGGAATGTGATTCCTGCAACATAAATTATTTTTGATAAAATTGATGCACTTAAAGATAATAATACAGTATAAAGTTTATATAATTTAGCAGATTAAGATTGAGATGATATTAAATTATTTGAAGGAATTAACAATAGGTTAAACAATAAAAAAAGGTGAATCATTGACATATGTATTATGTGGAAAGAAATGGACAATAAATATTATAGATATAACACCAAATGCTGAATTAGTTTGTATTGATTAAAATACTTAATTTAAATTACAAGATTAATAATTACAAGTTAAAAATTAATAATAATTATCATAAATAGAGTAATAATAATTAATGTATTATGATCATCTTTTTAATGAAATATAATAAATTATAGAATAAAATATAGGTGAATAATCAAATGAAATTAGTTTAATGAATTTACCATTAATAAAAGGTGTATTGATTAGTGGTTTAACTGGTACAGGTAAAACTACAATTCTTTAAATTTTAAGAGATAAATATGTAGAATATAAACCTGTTTTGATATCTATAAATCATTTAGATGCAAATAATAAAGAATTATAATAATTATTAGAAATTTCATAATAAAGAAATAATTTAATTTTGATTGATGACTTATCAAGTTTGACTGATGATAATATGCAAAATGTAAAACCATCTTTATTTAAAATATTTGATAATATTTAAAATAAAAAATCACTTATAATAGCAACTATTACTAGTATTAAAGATATTCCTGATAATCTAAGAAGATCAGGAAGATTTGAAAAAGAAATTATTATTGATTAACCTAATCATGAAAAAAGAGTAGATATAATGACAAATGAATTTATGAAATAAAATATAGAAATTGAAAAAGAAATATTAAAAGAAATATCATATTAAATGAGTGGTTTTACTGTTAATGATATTAGATGTTTAGTTAGAGAATTTTATTTATTAAAAAATATATAAGGAGATAATAAAATTAAATTAAGATAATCATTATAAAAGTTAAATCCTAGTGGAATTAGAGATTTGTTGGCAGATGTTCCAAAAGTATAATGGGATGATATTGGTGGATATGAAGATATTAAATAAGAAATTAAAAAAGTAGTTGAATGGCCATTAAAATATCCTGAATAATTTAAAAAATTAGGAATTACACCTTCTAAAGGAATTTTACTTTATGGTCCACCTGGTTGTTCAAAAACACTATTAGCCAGAGCTTTATGTACTTAATGCAATTTAGCTTTTATTGCAGTAAAAGGACCTGAAATTTTCAGTAAGTATGTAGGAGATAGTGAAAAAACAGTTAGAGAAATATTTAAAAAAGCTAGAATTTGTGCACCTTCAGTATTATTTTTTGATGAAATTGATGCTATTGCACCATAAAGATAAGGGAGTACTGATGTTTCAGATAGAGTATTAATATAATTACTTACAGAAATTGATGGATTTGAATCTTTAAAAAATGTAATAATTATTGCAGCTACAAACAGACCAGCATCAATAGATAAAGCATTACTTAGACCTGGAAGATTTGATCATTTAGTATTTGTTGATGTACCAGATAGAGATGGAAGAAAGGCTATATTTGAAGTAAATCTGAAAAAAATGAAAGTTAATGAAGATGTTACACAAGGACTTTAAAATTTAATAGATAAAACTATTGGTTATACTGGTGCAGAAATATGTTAAATATGTAGAGAAGCAGGTAATAATAAAATAATAATTTATAGGTTTAAATGCATTAAATAGAAATATTGATAATGAATTTATTGAATTGAAAGATTTTGAAATGGCATTATAAAAAGTAAAACCAAACGTAACTCATGAAGATCGTTATTAATTCTTATAATTTGCTAAACTTGCTTAATGATATTTTTATTATCATATGTATATAAAAATAATATATAATTTTATTAATTAAAATAGATTATATATATATATATTTTATAAATATATAACTATATTATAAAAATAGTATTGCAGTAATTTAAATTTTACTCATAAATTCATTTTTCTATAAGATTGATTTGGGGATATAATAGCACTTTCAAAAACTTAATCAACTTATAGATCTCTTTACCATCTGTAGGTTGGAATATTTTCAGATTACAAATCTTCCGAACAATTAGTTATTTAATGTTTTTTAATTTCTTATTGAGGATTATCATTGGAGATAATTTATTATTCTATTTCCTCATCCAGAAATTCATTACAATCTTAATCTAAACTAAACAAATAGATGTATAATATGTACAAATTATTATTAGTAGCTTTTTAATCTTCTGATGAATCTTTTTCATCTAGATCTCCTTCTGTGAAATGCTATTATTTTATACAGACTTTCTTAATAAGCTTTTTAGAGTATGCTTCCCAAGCCTTATATAGAATGAGAACAGTTAAATAATCATGTAAAATATTAAAGTTAGCTTTAAGATGTAAAATAGGTGAGATATTGGTTCTTTATAAATATCTATTTCTTCTGTAATACATCAATCTTAATTGCATTTCTTTATTGAATTATTTGATTTTCTTAATAGAAGAGAGTGGTCCATTTTTAAAGACTTCTTCATGATAACATACTCGAAATAGTTCATACATTAATTAATTATATTGAATATATCCATAATGATCACTAAAATATATATAATAATTATTAATACCATTAAATTTTAAAGGAGGATGCTAATTTGCCAACATCCCAAAGATTTTCATCATTACCTCCTCCTAATGGTTTTCCTATATCTAATAGAAAACGACAAAGAAATTTGTAATGCATGGCTTATCCTTAAGTTTCAGATGAATATTTGCACCAAATAGTTTTGATTTTATCAACATTTTCTACATAAGTTTGAATCATAGAATTTTATAACATAAAAAACTATTCGAATTATTCAACTAAACCTAAAACAAATAAATTCAAGAGAACATAATTGGATAGTAACATAAATAAAAAAAAGTAGATTTGATTATATATGCTTCCACAATATTAATCATCTTCTACACAATAAGGATTATAAAACATAGTATCTGTCATAATAGTTCTCCAATCATCTCCTGAAGCACATTTGAATAATGCTAACATAGCTTATGCAATATTTTAAAAATTGATTTGATCATCCATTACTTAACCTTTTTCAAGATGTCCATACATTTAACATCCAAAAAGAGCAAAAATAAACATTGTAATAATTAATATACAAAATATTTTACCTAAGAAAGGCATAGCAAAAACCATTACTCTCATTAATCTTTATAAATTAATTAAACCTTAAAATATTAAGATTATTCTTAAACATCGAAGAGCAAAGAATAATCTTAAAAATTGATATCCTTCATCAGATGGTGATGATTTAAAATAAACTAATGCCCAATCTGATTAATAATCTGCAATAATATCTATTATTGCAATTGTAATTAAAAAGAAATAGAATCTTCTCCAATGATTATCAAAATAACGATTTACTCCTAATGCTAAAAAGAGAAAAAGGTTCCACATTATATATAAATACATCAAAGCATTATGAGTATTATTAAGAATTTAGAAAAATGCTTCATCCATTTCAGAGTAAAATAATAATAATACAATTAGATCTATCAATAAAAGACAAAACATTGTCTTTTAAATTGTAGAATTATTAGTTAAATCAGAAGCAAATCTTCTTATTGTTGAAGTAGGAGGTGATGAATATATAGGGAAATCTTTAATAATAATTTATGAAATTTCCATAAATTCAACTTAAGCTTTTGTTATATCTGATCTTTCTATTTTACTTTAATTAGCTTTTAAATTAGCAAATAAAACACCTGTAAATAAACTTAAGAAAAACATTGATCCAATAAAACAAAATACAAGGAAAAAGAAATATGTTGGGATATAACTATTAAATGCAACTGGTCCAAAATCAGAACTCTAACTATTTTCTGCAATTTATAATATTTCACCCCATCCATCAAATGTTGAAACTACAAATAATGTTGGAATAGCAATAGTAATATTATCAAAATTATGTTTATAATTAATCCAAGTTCTATTCTATTCTAAACATTCTTTCTTATTTACATTAAATTCAACTTTATCTTCACAATATCCAAATTATTATTCATATAAAATAATACCATACACTCCAAATATTATCCAAACTGAAAGCATTGTTATTAATACATTCCATATATCAGCTAATGATCTTCCTAATGCTAATCTCAATTTATCTAACCAAGACAATCTATACATTAATTTCATCACTCTAAAGTAACCAAAATACAAAAAGAAATTTACAATTGGTTTCTTTTCACCATTTGAGAGAAAGTGATAGAAGTATGATACAATATATATAACATCAATTATTTACCATGTATATGTTATATATGATCCTTTATTCATCCACATTCCTTTTGCAATACTACCAATTACAATTTCAAATAAAAAAAGAATATTTGCTAAAAATTATAAAACTTCTGGGTATATTTCTGAATTCTCTTCATAATCATTATAAGTTTTCAAAGCAAATACAATTATTGAAAAATACAATACTAAATCTATAAAGTAATTAAAAAATTTAGATGTTACTATTTTACAACATACTATTCTCACATAATTCTCTTTTGAAAATATATATAATGATTATTAACATTAAATACCTTCATATAATTAAGGATATTATTTTAAAATATCCTTATGCACTTATTCTAATTATATATTAATCAATAAATACTTATTGATTTTATCAAATTTGTAATTGGTGTTTATTTTGTTCTCTTTGGTTAATTATCACTTAAATGTCCTTATGAGATTAATGGTTTCAAATTTAATTAAAATTCTTAAATTTCTTATTCTTCAGTAATTTAAGAATTTTAATCTTCTTACTATTCATTATTTTTTTCTTCATCTTTTTCAATTGATTCTTCTTATTCATTCATTTCTTTATTAATTGCTCCAAATCCATCTAATAATATAGCTAATACTAATCCATATGTAATATAATTCAATACTATAACCATAGAATATGAGTATATTACTGCAAATACATAATTGATATTTCCACCTATAACATATACACCATACCAATCATCATTAGTCATAATATTGAATATGGTCATAAATGCTTTTAAAATATTATCATAAGAATGCAATTAACCAAGAGCATCAGTTTAATCAAATACACCTGCATACATTTCCATTCCTATCATTGCATAAATAAATATAACTAAAAACATTAAAAATGTTAAGTATATATATTATTTGAATGTTTTTTAAGCTATATGACCAATAGCTACTGCCATCTTATTATATTTTAATACTCTATAAAATAGTAAACATTTTGTTCCTCTAATCAAACGTAAATTTTATTCACTTAAACTAGTCATTAATGAACTCATTGTAAGTTCTATGAAATTTAATATTACTATACAAGATTATAATACATAATCTGGACTATTTGCAATATCTTTCCAAGAAAAAGCAATAAATCTCAGAATTAATTCAGTACATAAAAATATTGTTGAAACATCCTCTTCATTTGATATTGTAACTGAATTAGCTATACCTTATAAAGATAGAAATGTAAAATTTATCAATATTACAAAATCAAAAAATAATTGACAAATTTAAGATGTAATGAGTATATATGAATACTTCTTTATTGTATCAATTTTTCCATATATACCCAACATCCAAATCTATATATCAATTATATTTAATCTTTTTAAAATATCTCTAAAATTAAATAATCTCTTTTCATTTAATTTTAATACATCATTACCAGACCAAGTTTTCTTATTAATTAATGCTTATTAAATATCCTTTTTTCTCAATAATCTATATTAAAATTCATTAGATGATTAATTAATTCTATTTTTTTATATTTTAGCATTTATTTTTAATTAAACACCTTCATAATTTAAATAATATCCCTATATATAAACAAAATATTGATCCTATTTTTTTATAACAAATGGAATCTGTTAATCATTTTAAGAAGATTTTTATTTTGAAATTTATTTCATACTCAACTTTTAATTTATTTAACGTTATTCTATTGAATTGTTTGTTTCATTATCATTATTCTCTGTAAAATTGAGAATAATCCTTTTTACTTTATGAACAGGAAATTAACAAGTTTATTTATGATCTTTGAAAATCTATTGAATTTTAGTTTCTTTTATATCTGGATATACAATTGGAAGTTTTAGATATCTCATATTAAGAATTTCTTTTTCTATTTCTTTTTTCTCACAATCAGGTAAACTAATAAATAATATATTTAATAATACTTTAAAGTTGGTAAAACATCACCTTCACTTGTAAATGTTTATTAAATTTGTTTATTAACACATGATTACATTTGAGAAAACTAAAAAGACTTTAGTCTTTCTAAAATTTATAATTCAATTTCATCTTCAGTATATTTTTTAACATGAATTCTTTTCTATTTTTCTGATAAAATTAAAAACTTTGGTAATAAAACATTCTTTATTGTAAAATTTTAAATAGATATCCATATACTTTTTATCCAATTAATCTATATAATATAAAGATTTTTTTACATCTTCAATCTATTCTTCATTTTTCTTTTATTTAGCAGATAGAATTCTTGCTTTATTATTTTATCCCTTGTCATTGTTTATTTCTTCTAATGGAATATTACGATAAGTAGTTCTTAAAGCCTATCTATACTTTTATATAACAGGAAAGAAATCCCTATAACGTAAAAATGCAACATCAAAAACATTTACAATATCTCTTTCTGGTATTTCTCTATTTTCCTTAATCTTTTATTCAATCTTCTTTCTTTCTTCCTCTTAAGCATTCTCTTCTGTTGCTTCAGCATAATGAATCTTAATAACTGCAATCACCAAATTAAACCCAAAAAAACCACAAACAAAAATGATTAATAAATAATAAAGCCAAGTCCAAGGATGATATATTCTCATTGTAAAAAACATAACCCAACTCCAATCATCCATTGTAATTGTACGTAAGACTTAACCATAAGAATATATAACATTATTAAAAGAAGTAGGAAGTTTAGGAGTGAATGAAGAATATTAACATGACATTCCTTCTTCAAAACAAGAATTCTAATTACATTAAATCCATCCATCTGTTTCATCACCATTATCATATTGACATCTATAATTAAATAATCCTTAAAATAAAAACACTCCACATATTGCAAAAAATACTGAAAATAAACCAACAATCATTAGAGCTTCCAGTAAAAATCTGAATGATTATTTTAAAGCTTTTAACATTACTCCTAATCCAGAAAAAATATCTCCTAAATAAAGTAATAATGTAATTACTCTAAGTGGTGATACATCAACTATAAATGTCTCTGGATATGTTAAATTTAACACATAAACAATTACTAAAATACAATCCATAATATCTTGAAAATTTCTAAAGAATGCACCTTTTGGTATTATTATTCCTGATGCAATTATTCTTAAACATAATTCTATTAAAAAACATATCATAATGCTTTTTTCCATATTTTTAGTTGATAATGAATCTTATTTTGTTTATGAGTATATATATAAAGTAACATTAAATAGAATTAAAAATGACATACAAATTTTAAAAAAGACACTTTATACTATTTTCTTACATAAAATTGGGATAAATAATGAATAAAATACTAGTTTTTTTCTTAATTATAAAAATTATTTATCATCATGATAAGCCTCATTATTAATGAAATAATTACATCAAGTTCATATTGCAATCTTTCAAATCCATGTAAATCGACTAATTTTACATAGTAAGGATCTTCAAAAGGATTTCTCTCAGATAGTTTCTCATATTTCTTTTTTAATTTGCTTTCTTCTTATTAATTATCAATGTAATCCTCATCTTCACTATTAGAAAGATTTTATTAATTTTTTTTTGTTTGATTAATTTACAACTTTGATGAAAATACATTTTTTTAACTTGAACGTGATCTTTTTAAAGATTTCTATGATGATAATACTTCACTATTTTATGAATTAAGTTATTAATCTCCATTACTTTATTTTTAAATACTAATGTCCTATTTTAGTCCCCATTTTTGTTCAAAATCTAAAAATTATATTTTCAAAACTGATCTTTCCATCCCATCTGACATATCTAAGGGATTAATTAAATCTTATTCAAAGGATATATTAGGTATAATTAGTTTGTCTTGAACTTAAAAAAAAGAAGACTGTCCTTATTAAAGTATTCCTAAATTATCTTTCAACATTATAGATTAATTTAATGATCTTTTATCAGATTCTGAATCATTTAATAAGGATGATGAGCTATGAGATAAACCTTTATTCATAGAGACATTCATTTTTTATTTGCTTTAAATAGATGAAACTGAATGTCTGCTTCCATACATACGATTTTTGCCATCTTCTGAATGTATGTTTTGAATGTTCACTTTTCTGTTGGCCATTTCTTTTGATATTGAGAAATGCTTCTTTGTTGTCCTAACTTTTTCAGGGGTCTTCCTATCTTTAATTTTTTGCATTTCCTTTTATATATTAATGATAATAATCAATTATTTCAAGGATGTATATAAAATTGAAATATAAGAACATCAAAAATAACATCTTATCTTTAATTTATTGATTTATTCTGTTGAAAAAATGTAAAACTTGATGTATTTAAAATATTTAATTTTGTTGAACTATATTTTTAGAGCACTATTATCAAGTCATCTTAATATTAATTGATTTTCTAATTTATATCTTTGTTTCTAAGTAGTTTTTGGGTTCAATTTCACCAAATGTTTGTTTTGTTATTAAGTTTTGAATATTAATTTTAATTATTAAATATTTAAAGAATTTTTATTTTATTCGATAATTTTACATTTACTTTTTGTTTATCACATATAATTAAAGTAAAATTTAATATTTATGGATGTAAATTTGATCTTTAGTTTCTCAAACAATAAAAATCTAATAGTTTTTAATTTAAAATGTAATGAGGTTTATTGTAATGTTGAAATAAATATGAATAATTCTTATAATTAATTAAATTTAATTTATATTCATGTTGAACAAATCAAGATCAAGATTGCCTCCTCAATTATTAATTACTCCAAAATATGATGAAAACCTTGTAATTTGTAAAACTCAAGAGGATACTATTAAGGAACATAGAAGAAATACAAGTTACTAATAAAGAACTAGTTAGTAGAAATATAATTTTCAGTTGTGCCATTAAATTGGAAAAGGATAATTCAGTAAAGTTATGCTTGTCAAGTAAAAATTAACAATATGTACAACTAGAAATGCAGGTGTTTAATACGCTTTAAAGATGATTGACAAAAAATTGATCCAAAAGTACAATATTGCTTAATAAGTGTAAAGAGAAATAGATATTTAATCATCAATAAAACATCCAAATATAGTTAAAATGTTTGGTAATTTTCAAGACAATGAATATGTCTATCTAATAACCGAATATTGTGAAAAAGGAAATTTGTACTAAAAATAATTCTCTAAGGAAAATATAAAATAAATAATTAAACAAATTTTACTTGGAATCAAATATCTTCATTCTATGGGTATTATGCATAGAGATATAAAACCAGAGAATATCTATTTAACTTCAGATGACAAAATTAAAATAGGAGACTTTGGCTTTTCTAATTATAAAGGCAGAAGAAAGACTTTTTGTGGTACTCCTGAGTATATGCCACCTGAAATTGTGTAATCTTAGGCAAATAAGAATTATTATAATGGATATGATGAAAGAGTAGATATATGGGCTATAGGAATCTTATTATTTGAATTGTGTAATGATACAGTTCCTTTTAGAGATATTGATCGAAATAGATAGTAAGATAGAATTTGTAGAGAAAATATACAATTTAAAGAGGATTAAGATTCAAATCTAATAGATTTTATATAAAAATGTTTGAAAAAAGATCCTAATTAAAGGGCTGCAATATAAGAATTACTGCTACATCCCTACTTATAAATTTGATAATTAATTAATTTTATTTTATTAATTAAACAATTTTTGAATTTCTTAAATGTGATTGTTTAGATAATCGAAATGTTCAAGTATGTTATTAGAAAGGGGTGCTTTATTCTTCAAAATTTTATAGTATATCTATAATTAAGTTATTTTTTCATATCTAATCCTTTAATGTATACTCATTATTCTAGATTTATGAAGTAATTAGATAAATATAATAAGCCAATTATATAATAAATTATGTTATTAAAATTAGTAATTTTAATATTATTATAGATGATAAATATGTTAACTCAATAGATTAATTATTATTATAATATAATGGAAATTTTCTTTGTAGAAATTTCAAATATTTGCTTTGAAATAGATGATGTTATATTTTTTATAATATATATTTAATTTTTATTTATTAAAATCTAAAAATAAATATTTATATTAAGTAATGAGAAAGGTATATTAAGAAAATATACTTATAAAAACAAATAAATATATATAAGAATTGTTAAATTAGAGATTTAACCATTAGAAAAAGAGTAATTACTTAAGTTCAGCATACTACTGTTCTTTTGTAATAACTGAACTTATATCTTTAACTCACAAATTTAATACATATAAAATTTATTTAAAAGTTGTTGATTTGGTCGATAAAGCTGAAAAGTAATTTTGTTTATTTGAATGATCAACTAAAAGTAGTTTTAAATTATATTATCATATATAGCTAATTGTGAAGAATTAAAAATTCAATAATAAAAATAGATGGATAATGTTAACACTTATTTAATGATGTTAAATGCTTAAAGTACATAAGAGAGTGAATGTGCAAAAGATGAATTGAATGATTCAATAGATTTATATATGGATTCAAAGATTAGTGTAATTGAAATAAGGATTGTGAAATATTTGCATGGCATGGGAATATAGACTAAAACAGATCCAGGTTAGAAGGAATAACAATATTGGAATTCAAAAAGACTTGAGAGTAATAAGAAATTAGAACAATTTTGGAGTGGTAGCAATTTACCAATGAATTCTTCATTAACTCGTTTATTGAAGAGTCGTTAATCTTAAACATTTTAACATTTTGGATAGAGTGGAAGATCTGTTCAAGATTTTGGAACTTACTGATATTCAAGTTGGTGAACAGTTGAGTTAATTGATTTTAGTGTATTAATTTTATTCTTTTGTAAATAAAATATATGCAAATTGTATTTCTTAAATTTCTGAATTAGTTATTTGAAGGATTAGTGAAAAAGTGAATATGAATAGAATTTAAATAATTTGTTTAAAAATATAAGGTAAACTTTCATAGAAAATTTCTATAGATTATAAAATGAATGATAACTTAATGCTTAAATATAATATCTAATAATAATAATTTGATATTAAACAAATTAAACATATTGTTTTAATAAATATTATTGGGAATATTATACATTCATTCATATTCATTAATAGCTTCTAAAATACATGCTATTGACCATGCTTAAGCTCTACATGAGAAAACATTGTATTCTCCATTTCCATTTGTCATTTCTGGTAAGGAATACCTAATTATAATAATAAATAAGATTACCATTCATTTTAATGCAAAGTAATTTTATGGTTAGATAAATAAGAATAAAATAATTGTCTATTAATATTTTCTTTACCATGAATAGCTAATAAAGCTTTTATAAAATATCCATAGACCCATACCCACTCTGGTCCATTATGATAAGAGAATCCATGAGATACATTGAAAATTTGAGATTAATCACTATTATCATAAAAATGAATATATTCTGAAGCAGCAGGATCAAGAGTCTTGACACCTATCGAATTTTCTCTTAATAAACATGCTTCAACAGCAGCTAAATGGAACATTGCCTTTTCTTTATGAAATAGTTCAGGTGCTAATCCTATAGCAATACTAGCATTGCATCTTAATTAATATTCATTTCTAGGCTTCGAAGATTTAACAAGATCCTTATAGATTTGTCGATGTCTAACATGTTTTTCAACTATATGATAATCTTAATAATTTGGATCATGTTATTTTGGAATGTAATAATACTTTTCGAAATTGACAATTAAGAAATGAGACCATTCTTTAAAGAGTAATTTCTTACCATTTGGACAAATAACACTATCATAAGGATAATGGGGATGTATATGACTTACAAAATCTAAACAAACCTTAAGAAGAGCAGTCAATTCAATAGGTGCCCCATCTCTACTAGTAGCAGGAATTCCTCTATTAATATCTGATGAACCCATTTTATCCATCCATGTTAAACAATTTAACCAATTTCCACCTACTATAAAACCTGTCTATTCATCTAAACATAATTATATATTAAATCCTTCTGATTACATACAATTATCTATTTAATTACCTGCTCTCCATTCTCTAAATTTAATTCCAGAGGCATGACTCTAAAAAATCTTTTGAATAATTTCTGCAATATTTTTCTTAATTTTAATTCCTTATGATTTTAATTAGTAGTGTTTATCTATGTCATCATCTAAAAATACCATTTAGACTTCTTCATTAAGAATATCAGTTTTTCCAGAATATTATATATAATCTTTGACTGCTTTTATGTACCACCAACAAGCATCTCTGCAATTATATCTTGGATTATTACATGAATCTAATAAATTAGGAATGAGTCCATGTCTTAAACAAGAACCAAAAGTTAGTAAAGCATCTCTTGCTTCAGCTAATAATCCATTTTCTAGATATATTCCTTTAAAGGATATGAAGGTATCTCTACCCCATGATCTAGACCAACCAGTTGTAAAATGTGGTAAACCAGCTGCCATTTATTTTGAGGAAGGTAATTCTGCAATGAATTAATATGAAGCTAATTTTAACTCTCTTTTAAATTATGATGTTTATAGATATGCAATAGACATCATACAATAATTGTAGATATAATCAACAAATTTACAAAAATAGGAAGGAATATGATAACGTGGAATACTTTTAATTTATTATGTGATTGTATTAATTAATTTAGATAATTCTAATTATCCAAATTAACGTTAAACCCTATCATTTAAATAGTCTAATAACCAATTTCCATTTCTTAAATTTTCACAGATAGGATGTGCTAAATTATTATTTGTTTATGCTTCTCTAGTGGCAGAACGAGGACCAGCAAATCCAGCATAAATAAGTTATCTATAATTGGGAATAAAATATAATCCTGTATTATTTTTATCTCTTTCTTCAGGTTCAGACATAAAAAGTAAGTAATTTAATTATGATGAATTTAATTCATTAAATAATGATTATTATGATGCATCATTTAAATGGATTTCTAGAGATTATAAATTCTTTTGTTATTCAGGAGTAATTTGACATTCAATAATAGCAGTAAATGAAGAAGGTAATTTAATGAATTTTAATTCATTATCTTAGATTTCAGCAAACTCACGTATATTTTAATGTTATATAATTTTGACTTATGATCCTTCAATAATTTAATTATTTTATTCAGGAAGTTGTATAAAATCTTCATGATAGAATATAGTATCTACTTTGACAATTTATCCTGGTAATTTAATAGAACTTAATTAATTTGGAACTCCAAAAGAAGGAACAGTAATTAATACTTTAGATCTGCATTTATCTTAAGTTTCTCTAGTAATTGTTTGAATAGTATCACCATGATGTTAACAGAAAATGAAAGGAAACTATTAATTAAGTTCCTTTTTAATTTAATGTAATTTGAGTCTAATCAATTCCATAGTTGAATGTAATTTCTTTGTATTAGGTTCAACTATTAATTTCTTATTAATTTAATCAATCCAATTTGAATTTACTTTATATTTGTATTCATATTATCCTTCTTTCAACATAAGTGTTGATGTATAAATGTTCTTATGGGCAATCAATACTAAACCTATTTTCCAATTATCCCATGATCCAAATACTTCAACTATTTAATTTGGTAATCCATCATATCTAAAGGCTATTTCTGATTATTTTTCAATAATGATCTATTCAGTAGGAGCAATAATATTATATATTCTTCTTTCACCTACAACTGATAATTTATCTGGCAAGAAACAATCATATCCTCTTACAGTACCACCCATACAACTACTAAATGTAATTAAAGCAGCTATTGGTAATTGATGTTTATAATCATGAGTAGACAACAATGACTAATTATCATGAGATTACTCATAAATCAAAGCAGAACTATATTACGGTTGTAAAATAGTATATGTTTCATTTATGGATTCAAATTATTCTTTTAATTTTGGTAAAGATCCTATTGATATTCTTCCATCTCCACTATAATAATGTAAATCTCTATTTAAATGACTAGCATCATGAGATCTGTTAGTTTCTCTAACCAAACAATTTATTCCTATAGTTTTTGTAAATATTGAGTCCTTCTCTGAAGATCCTGTAAATAATTCAGCAAATACTAAGATATTTGGATTAGCTTTCCTTGCCTATCTCATCATATATTCTCTAATTAAATTATTATTAAATTTAATTACCCTACAATCATTGGAGTTGAATGTGCATTGTCTAATCTCAATCCTGCAAATATCTTAGACATCTATTAAACATATTTCTTCATATATTTCCATAATGCAGGACTATCCTATTTCTTTTATCCATATCTTAATTTCACTAAATCTCCCCATATAACAATTGTCCTTCTTAAATAATGATGTTCTTGATTCTCTGCAAAATTATTCAATGGATCAAAACCTTATATCCATCCATTATTAGCCACATATTTTCCATTACTTAATTTAGTAAAATATCTAGGAACCAATGAATCTCCTTTTTCATTTACTTCCACAAAAGGCTTCTTTTATGTCAATTTCCACCATTTGATTTATCCTCTTGTGGATTTAACAGCTTCTTTAATGTAGGACTCAGCTTCATTCCAATATTAATGATTATAATATTGTAATAACTCTTGAATATATTCTAAAGACACCTTCTTGTAATTCTCATCTTTACTACCATTGTAATTTAAAATAATACTTTAGGAATTCAACTATCACCTCATAATTTAAAGATACTCCATTTTCTTTATTCCCTTTTAAGATTGTCTCTTATCCTATCAATTATAGCATTATTTCACTTGCACTCTTAATAAATATATTATGATTCTCTTCCAATTACTCACTCTTTTTTTACACTATTTAATTACATCTATTTTGTATTTCATTTATCACTTAATTTATATTAAATTAAAAATATCCATGAATATTCAATTTTCTTATATATTCATGTTCCAAAATGTCCATTATTTAATTAAGATCATCTTCATTATATATAGTATTTTTTGGATATTGTGTTAATAATCCTGATCCTAATTTATTACTAAATTCTGCTATAGCACAATCTAATTTTATTGCTATTTCCAAATGTGGTGAATTACTAACATTATATGTTGCATTCTCAAATTCTGGTTGAACTAACCAATTTGAATCAAAAGCAGTATGATTTAATAAGATATCTATAAAAAAGTAAGTATTTTCAAATTTATCAAAAAGTTGTTTTAAATCATCATAAGTGTGATTCCCAAAAATATCAGTATTCAATTTTTGTTAATCAGCTATTGCATATAAACTAGGTGATTGACCCAATTATTAAATAGGAGGAAAATGAAAAGCTTCATAACCCAAATCTACTTGAGAACGAATTTACTTTTCATAATCTTCAAATTTACCCAAACAATATGGTAGTAATGTTTATATAGTTATTTCTTAGAGTTTCTCCACATCATTAGGTTAAACTATAATATGATTCTCCACTCCCAATATTACAGACTTATCTTATGCAAAAAACCAACACAATCTCAAATAAGCTGCCCCAGTCAATGCAAATTCAACATCCACTTTCCAATCACCAGATGAATCAAGAATAAACTCTTTTACATCATGATATTGTTATATTTATTTCAAAGTTTAATTATCCATCTCATGTACATGTTTATATCCTTTTTACATGATCACATATGGATAATAACCTTATTTACGATTGCGAACAAAGATTCTTACTATTTAATGTTGGTGTACATAGATAGCCTTATCATGACTGCCTTCAATTTCTCCCTTTTAATTTAGTTCCAAAAAGAATCTATCCTATTGCATTATTAATATTATTTTTTTATTCAAATCTAGATGAATTATAAATATATAATTTCAACGATTAATACAACCAAGAGAAATCAGGACTCTTCTAAAGAAAGTTAGTTCTGGTTGTTCGTTTAAGGGTTAAGGTTGATGAAACACAAAATGTTAAGATCTTTATTTCATCTCTTCCCATTCCTTATTGTTGGTTTTCCTTTCAGAAACAACAGTTTAACAAGATTTTAAAGGAGAATGACTAAATTCATCCATTAACATAGAGATGTTTCTGGAATTCAATTGATCATTGTTAGATTATTACTTTTATTTAGATAACATCCATTTATGATTGAGAATACCTTAAATAGAAGGTCTATTAAATGGATTTGGTTGTAGAATCATGGTAATCAATGATTTACAATCTTCACTTACAGATTCCTCATATTTTAACTATTATCCTGAAAGAATTGCAACACATTTTTCTTAATCATTTCTTCCTGTAAAAGGAGGCTTACCTTAAACCATCTCATAAAGTAAAACTCCTAAACACCAGATATCTAATTTATAATTTGTGCTTTAAGACTTTATCATTTCTGGTGCCATATATTCTATAGTCCCACAAAAAGCTTTTTTCAAATTATCCATTTCAGTGGACCATCCAAAATCACATATCTTTATATTCCCCTTTGTATCCAACAACAAATTTTCTGGCTATATATATATTTAAATATAATTCAAAACCTTTATATCCCTATGGATTATCTTCATCTTATGTAAGTAATCAATTCCTAAACAAGTCTAATAGAGATAATGATAGGCTTCATCCTCAGAAAGTCTACGTTATTTTTTTATCTTTTTAAATAGAGAACCTCCTTCTGCATACTCAAGAATGAGATAAACATTAGTCTTAAAATATAGATTGTGTATACCTTGTCTTCGAAATAACTATCCAATTTAATAATATTAGGGTGATTCAATTTACGTTAAATTTTTATCTCCCTCTTTAAATTTTCAACAGTGCAATACTTAAATAGTTCAGCCTTCTTCATCTACAACATTAAACATTTAACAATACCGCTTTCATTGCAAATAATTTTCCAGTCTAAATCTCCTTTACTAAAGTTACCCAACCAAAAGAGCCTTATCCCAACGTTTATTGCATAGGCTAGAAATCACTAATTTATCATTCTTTAAATACCTATGAGTTTTCTTTTGTATAGTACTAGAAGATGCTTTGCTACTTGATCTAGGCATATTTGTACTAACATTATTAAATAAATATACCAGTTTGACTCATGTTTTGAGATAGACGTATTCAATTTCAAACTCAGACAATCACTAGTAGTCTCTGAAATTGCTTTATTAGAGTTCATTAATATAAAAAAATTATTTTTAAAACTCAAAAAGATCATATAAAATCAACACTTACACAAAACCTCAAACTTTTAATAATCAATTCAACTTTTAAATCATTTATTTTTAGATTATTCTCACATCAACTATCATCCTGATTATTAAAGCCCTTAACGTTTTTTCTCATTTTATATGTCTTCTTATAATTTCAATTGATTTTTTCATTATAGCTTATCCACTTATATTCTAGAAAAGTTTCCTTACAGTTACATAAGTAATTTCATTTTGATTTTGATATAAACAACATTTAACAATTCATGTTTACTGGTTTAAGATAAATAACTTAATTTCTTTTTAAAAGAATATCCTTGATTTTAATCAATTAATCTAATGTAAGAACAATTACTATTAAATATTTTAAACAAAAAAAGAATAATATTATGTTATGTTTAATTAGAATTAGATAAAATAAATTAATTACTCTTTTGTTTAATAATTTATTATTAAATAAACAATTATTCTGATATATCTATGTGATTTTTGGAGTCCATAAATTTCTTATAATGAAACATTTTCTTTTTTGATATTTTAGTATTTATGCTTAAAAATAATTGTTTAAATATATTATAAAATCACTTAATATTCATGCAGTTGAATTCGAGGTAATAAATAATTATTATATGTAAATATAGCAAAATTATCAAATAACTTAGTTATTGTCAGATTTTGATGAAAATAATCGACTAATTATCTTAGTTTAAGGAGTTCTTTACAGAAAATTCTTTGGTTTCTATGAACCTCCAGTTGATTGAAATGCAAATTATTATTTAGTACTTGCTTAAGGGGATTATAATTATGGTAATTGATTGAATTAATCTGGTTTATCTATATTCATAAGTTTGTATGCTTATTTAATTTAATTTTAAGATTCTTATGAGTCTCTTAAATGTTCTTATGCAGTTCTTGATTTTCTAGCTACATCATCATTTGGTAAATTGAAATTAATAAATTCATTGACAGGAGTGATTGTTTATTTCGAGGAATTAGTTCTTAAAGCTGTCTCTTATTGAGATTATTATCCAATTGAACCATACCCAATGAGTTGATTATTGTAAATTTTTTTTGTTTAATTAATTCGGGGTAAAAATGCAGTTGAATTAGATTTTTACATTTATTCACTATTATATTGAGATTGTCTGCTATCTAATAATGATTTTTAATAAGATGGATATTCAGGTTGAACAAAGTCTTCTGTTTGTTTGGTGGGGATGTGTCTTCGAACAGGTTATAAATCAGCCATGCTGATATTAAATTCATTGTCTGAAATTTTGAGAGGTTGACCAAATTTAATATTTTGATTTCTTTGGAAGCCAGGTGCAACAGAATTATTCTAGACTATATTAATTTATTCATTGTTTGTTTTAGGTTAAGGTGGTGAAAATGGTTTAAGTGAAGGAACTTTAATTAATTTAGGAGGAGAGCTAATTAGAGATCATTTTATACCCAAATTTATGCATAACAGGAGTAATATGATTATTTTATGCAAACTATTTAGTAGATTTGGTCAGTGTGACTTTTTTTAAAGTTTAAGATGGTCTCTTTTCACTATTAATTTAAGGTTATAAATTCTTTTTGCCTTCTGAACTAAGTTTGAATGCTTATTCTTTTGGTGATTTGAAGGGTACTCTTTATATTTGTTTTTATTAAAATTTAATGGATTATCCTAATGAGCTTAATTATGGATTAAAAAATTAAGCAGTTTACTTCATTTCCTATTACAAACGACTATCATCAAATGATGCTTAATCTTGGTGATTCATCATTTGTTTTAAATAATTATTTATTTATTTATAAATAACAATTATTCATGCAAGTCATAATAAGATATATCAAATTTATATCATAACTTGATATCTATCAATAAATCTCTTTATAGAATCTTATTATACCTTAAAAAATTCATCATTTAAGTATAATTTTGAAGTATTATCAGAAACACAAAGAATAAATAATTTTATGAAATAATTTATTTTGTTTCATTCATGATTTGTGATAATCAAAGATATTGTTGTTCCTTCTTTGAAATCTTCAGGTAAAACAACTACATAATATGATTTGCTTATAGCTGTCAAAGTACATCCAGGACATTTTCTATTAATAGAAATATATATATATTACGTAAAATGAAAATGAACTTCTTCAAAATAGTATTCTCTAGATAAGAATATTTCTGTTTGTTTTCCATTACATTTATTACTGGCTCTCCAATCTAATTCTAAGAAATAAGAGTCATCATCTATTCTATTAAAATTAGAACTATTGGGAACACCACAAATCTTAGTCACATATGGTCTACTAAGAGTCTTGACTTTATTAGTGTATAATTATCCAAATTCATCATAAAAAGATTCAATTTATCCAGGATGAGCTTAGGTTGTAATATCAGCATAATATTTAAATTCCCAATAAGCCCAAGAAGTGAATCTTGATTCCATTAAATCTAATAAGTAATCAAGTTCCTTATTTCCTTTTGGAGTATCAAGTATAGCTCCAAATTCAGTCATGAATTTACCAACTCCTAAATTTTTAGCAACACCCTCTTTAGTAGCAAAAAAGAATGAATCCATATAATTACATACTTATTCATTTTTAGGTATGCTATAATCATCAACATTAAAACAATATATGTGATAACTGTAAACTTCTCTATCTCTATATTCTTCACCTCCTGGAGTATCTTTAAATCCAGCACCTATTAGATCAGTAGTTCCTGGTTCAAAGAAAATGATTTTTTAATCATCATACTTTCTTATTTATTAATGCACCTTTCTGTAAAGAGGCAATAAATTATGATTATTACCATAATTTGGGAATAAGAATTCTCTTATACTATGATATATTGATCCTTAAATAGGTTCATTGATAATTTCATATCCAATAACATTCTTATGATCTTTAAAATAATTAGCAACTACACCCCAATATTCAGCAAATGCATCAGCTATTCCTTCTTTATTGTCAAAAAGATTTTAGAAAGTTTTAGAAGCTTCAGCAGTTAAATAATATAGAACAAACTTTTTCTTTAAACAATCTTCAATCAAAGGAACTCCATCATCATCAGTATGGATCTTAGAAAAAATATATGGATAAGGGAATTTAAATTCCTTTGACTTAGTTCTGGCAATTGTCCAATCAGGGAATCCATTTCCACAAAAGAATCTATTCAATACATCTTAATGTGAGTCTAATAACACTGTAACTCCTTTGGCTTCACATCTTTTTACTATTTTTTCAATCTCTTCTAAATAAGTATAATTGTATTATCCCCTAACTGGTTCGACTCCCTCCCATGCTACATGTAATCTTATGAATGTCATTCCCCAAGAGACTAAATTGTCTAAATCAAAATCGGATAATGAATCATTAGAATCAAATCCTTCTGATATTGGTGGATAATAGGGAGGCAATTTGTATACAACATTTACTCTATGTATGATTATAACTTATACCCATGAAATACTCTTCTTAAACCATCTGTATCTACAATGAATTGATCATCTCTATTCACTTTAAATGATGATGCTACAAAAGCGAGATAGAACAATAATATGCAATATTTCATTAATTTTATTTAATTAAAAAGTGTTTATTACAGTATATATCAATAAAAAGACATAAAATAACAAAACTAAAATTTTATAATAAGATCCTTAGATATAATTGGCTTAGGTCCTGTCTTATTTAACATATTCTATAATCATCATAAAAATTCTTCAAGTACTTGACTTTAAGCTAAAAGCATATGCATCAATTCAAATTAATTGTTATAAGAATTAAGGTATTCAAAATCCTTATTTTATTAATGAAATCCACTTTTAATAGTTGAGGTTTTATTTACCATCTTATTAAATAATTAACTTTATAATAGAAATTCTTGACCTGAATCATACATTATATTTTCTGAATAACTTTATATTGCATTTAATTTAGCATTCACTGTGTTTTATTAAAATAATATTTCCTTTTATAATTTTTACATGTCCATTCCAAACTCCTCTTATTTTATTGTGACTATTCTTTCAACAATTTATTTGTATTACTTACCAAAAAATAGGGCATCTTCTAATAATTAATTCTATAATGTCTTATAAATATTTATACAATAATAGAAGATTTTCCATTCAATTCAATTTTTAATTATTTTATCTCATTATCTTTGATTTATTGTAGTTAAGTACATTGTATTTGATAGGAAGAATAAGTTTCATTTTAATATTAATCAAATTAAGTCTTTATTTAATCATGAGCAGTCTAGAAATTATTTAATATAATACTTGATATTTCTCAAGATTTTATTTAAGTTTTAAATTTTCCTATTCAAAATTATGAGAAAGATTAAAATATTGTTCTTTTTCTTCTTAACAAATTTTATTACTTGATTTTAAATACTCATATGATTTTCTTAATTGTTCAAACTAAAATTAAATATTAATTAANCAGCTATTCCTTCTTTATTGTCAAAAAGATTTTAGAAAGTTTTAGAAGCTTCAGCAGTTAAATAATATAGAACAAACTTTTTCTTTAAACAATCTTCAATCAAAGGAACTCCATCATCATCAGTATGGATCTTAGAAAAAATATATGGATAAGGGAATTTAAATTCCTTTGACTTAGTTCTGGCAATTGTCCAATCAGGGAATCCATTTCCACAAAAGAATCTATTCAATACATCTTAATGTGAGTCTAATAACACTGTAACTCCTTTGGCTTCACATCTTTTTACTATTTTTTCAATCTCTTCTAAATAAGTATAATTGTATTATCCCCTAACTGGTTCGACTCCCTCCCATGCTACATGTAATCTTATGAATGTCATTCCCCAAGAGACTAAATTGTCTAAATCAAAATCGGATAATGAATCATTAGAATCAAATCCTTCTGATATTGGTGGATAATAGGGAGGCAATTTGTATACAACATTTACTCTATGTATGATTATAACTTATACCCATGAAATACTCTTCTTAAACCATCTGTATCTACAATGAATTGATCATCTCTATTCACTTTAAATGATGATGCTACAAAAGCGAGATAGAACAATAATATGCAATATTTCATTAATTTTATTTAATTAAAAAGTGTTTATTACAGTATATATCAATAAAAAGACATAAAATAACAAAACTAAAATTTTATAATAAGATCCTTAGATATAATTGGCTTAGGTCCTGTCTTATTTAACATATTCTATAATCATCATAAAAATTCTTCAAGTACTTGACTTTAAGCTAAAAGCATATGCATCAATTCAAATTAATTGTTATAAGAATTAAGGTATTCAAAATCCTTATTTTATTAATGAAATCCACTTTTAATAGTTGAGGTTTTATTTACCATCTTATTAAATAATTAACTTTATAATAGAAATTCTTGACCTGAATCATACATTATATTTTCTGAATAACTTTATATTGCATTTAATTTAGCATTCACTGTGTTTTATTAAAATAATATTTCCTTTTATAATTTTTACATGTCCATTCCAAACTCCTCTTATTTTATTGTGACTATTCTTTCAACAATTTATTTGTATTACTTACCAAAAAATAGGGCATCTTCTAATAATTAATTCTATAATGTCTTATAAATATTTATACAATAATAGAAGATTTTCCATTCAATTCAATTTTTAATTATTTTATCTCATTATCTTTGATTTATTGTAGTTAAGTACATTGTATTTGATAGGAAGAATAAGTTTCATTTTAATATTAATCAAATTAAGTCTTTATTTAATCATGAGCAGTCTAGAAATTATTTAATATAATACTTGATATTTCTCAAGATTTTATTTAAGTTTTAAATTTTCCTATTCAAAATTATGAGAAAGATTAAAATATTGTTCTTTTTCTTCTTAACAAATTTTATTACTTGATTTTAAATACTCATATGATTTTCTTAATTGTTCAAACTAAAATTAAATATTAATTAACATACTTCATCAATTTTAGATTGTAATTAAGATTTGATAGATTCAGTTTATGTATTTAATTCTGTAATTGAATGAATTGATTATTTATTATTATTTTATAATTTCAAAATTTAGTCATTTAATGAGGTAATTAACTTAGATTTCTATTCTAATTCATCTATTTGATATTTGATTATCTTTTATTATCCATCATTTAAATAATGATTAGATTTCGTTCTAATTTCAGTAGCAAGTATATTTTTGTGAAATTTAGTTTTATTATTTTCTAAATTACAACTACTAAATCCACGATGATGTGATGATTTCTTTATCGTTTTTATAGAACTATTAAGTTAAGGTTAAAAAGTATTTTAAATTTTAGTCAATTAATTATTAAGTGTGTCTATTTAAGTACTTATGTGTTATTTAGATTTGATTTATTCTATGATTTCATAGATGATTATTACAAGATCCTTAACCATATTATGAAATTGTTACTTCTAATCTGGTATTGATTGTTGCTAATTATTTGATGTATCTTGATTTAATTCTAAAATCAATAGATAGATCATATATTTGAGTAAAATAAGATCAGTACATCTATAAAAATCAAAGCAAGTTGTTGAATTATCAAGACAAAAGAGTTTCATTTTTGTTAAAATTGTTGTAAAAATATTATGATCATGATCTTTGGCATATTTAAGCTATTTAAGCTTTTTATCAATATGAATTAATGATGATATTTAGTTAGGATTAGAGTATTATTAAGTTTAAATTTCATTTTAAGTAAATGAAGTATGTTTATCTATTTCTCTAACAATACGATCAGTCATCTATCCCACATCATATTGTTTTAGTTGAAGGTAGGGAACTGGTGATGAATTATGGAGCAATTAGTTGATTTCTGTAGGTGTAGGGGAATGTGAGTGTTAAAATGTTTTCTTATGAGTAGAATGTAAATTTTGAAATTTTTGAAGCCACTAATAGTTAGAAGCTGTGTTCATTATAATTAACAGATATTTAACTTGGTTTAATGTAAAAATCTTAAATTATTAATAAATTAAAATGAAAATACTCTTCTGTATAGTATTGCTTTTAGTTGTAAAAGGGGCAATCATAGTCACATGTCCAAAAAATGGATTTGGTTGTGTAACATATGGAGCCAATACAATTATTTAAACAGCCAGAACAAATTCATTGTGCAGAAATGGTATTCTATATTATGATCATTAAAGGTTATTATTGGAACAACTAAGCATGTATGCCATGCAAAAATGCTGACATAGTCGTAGGTGGTTATTACACTTGTAGTGCCTATTATGAGGGAACTTCATTGACATGTATATCAGGTTATACATTGATAAATGGGTAATACAGAAATGTATATTTTAAGTGTATGTGTTCAAATACCTCTTGGTTGTACAGCTTATGGTTTAAATCAGAATTCAGATGCTTATGTTTGTACAGCATGCTTATCTGATTATACACTTAAAGCAGGTGTATGTATCAATAATAGATATTGTTCATCATGGGATGATAATGCTGTTTGTACATCCTGTTAGACTGGATACTTTTTAAATTGGGATTTGAAATTTGCATCAACAAGTTCTAATTTAAACAATCAAACTGATTGGATTAATACTTATTAAACATATTATAAATTCCCTGGAGAATCATTTTGTAGTGTATGTTCATAAACAATGGCTAATTGTAAGTCTTGTAATTCAGCGTAATTATATATATCAATATATTATAGTTATACTTGTACATAATGTAATGATGGTTATTATTGGTAATAATCAATCAGTAGTACTTAATTGACATCCTCAAATGCCTAATTTGCTGGTTCTTGTGTAAGTTGTCTTACAAGTGGAAATTGTTCTACATGTTAAGGTTCTTCTTGTACTTAATGCAGAGCTGGTTATTATCCTACTAAAGATACAACCAGCACTGTAATATTATCTTGTAATTTATGTCCAAATGGATGTTCAACATGTACTTCATCAACTTTTTGTACTGATTGTTAAACTTCATTCTATAAATATACTGATAACTTATGTTATCCTCTCAATAAATGTGCTTCAATCAATACATAATTAACAACTATTCCAACAACACCAAAATGTTCATCTTGTATAGCTGGATATGCATTAGATCCAAGTGGAACAGGAATTTGTTATTAATGTGGAAATTGTGATAGTTGCACAATCCCTACTGGATAATAAACAGCTTCTTTATAAACTTCATGTACTACTTGTTGGGATACGTATAAATTTATCAATATATAATTTTAGATATTTTGGTGTTAAGGATACTAATGGAATAGTTACTTGTAAACCATGTACTCAAGCTTCAGATTCATTCTTGAGATGTTAAGGTCCAGTTGAAAATTCATCCCTTAATGGTGTTGTACCAACTTAATGTTAAGATGGATACTATTTATATACTTTACCTGCTTCAGGAACTACATTAGCATAAACAGTTTGTGTACCATCAAATTAATCATAACAATGTGTCACNATTTTAATGTATTGATGTATTATTATTTTTATCTAAATTGCAACTATTAAATCTATGATGAAGAGATGATTTATTTATAGTTTTTAAAGAACTATTATAATTTTATTAAGGTTTAAATGAATTTTATATTTTAGTTAATTGATTATTAAGGTTATCGATTTAAGTACTAATATGCTATTTAGATTTTATTTCTTCTATGATTTCATACACAATAGTTACTATATCCTTAACCATATTTTGAAATTGCTAAGTCTAATCTTATACTTATTCTTTTTTATTATTATTAGATTATTGGTTTAATTCTAAGATTAAAAGATAAATCATGAATTTGAGTAGAATAAGATCTGTACATCTATAAAAATCAAAGCAAATTGTAGAATTATCAAGACAAAAGAGTTTCATTTTTGTTATAATGGTTGTAAAGGTATGTTAATCATGATCTTTAGAATATCTAAGTTATTTAAGCTATTTTTCAATATGTGCCAGTGATTTAATCAAGGATTGTTCAATAGGTGTATTGATATTAGAGTATTTTTAAGGTTGTATATCAAGTGGAATTTCATTTTAAGTAAATGAATTATGCTTATCTATTTATCTAACAATACGATCAGTCCATTATTCTACATCATATTGTTTGACTTAAAGGTAAGGGACTGGTGATGACTTTTACAGCAATTAGTTGATTTCTTTAGTGGCAATTGGCTTAATTGGTGAATGTGAGTGTTGGCTAGCTTTCTTTTATGTAGAATACAAATTTTGAAGTTTTTGAAGCAACTAATTGCTAGAAGCTGAGTTCATTATAATTAACAGATATTTATACTTGGCTGAATGTAAAAATCTTAAATTATTAATAAATTAAAATGAGAGTTCTCTTCTGTATTGCATTGGTTTTAGTTGTAAAAGGGGCAATAACAGTCACATGCCCAAAAAATGGACTTGGTTGTGTTACATATGGAGCCAATATAGTTATTTAAACAACCAGAACAAATTCATTGTGCAGAAATGGTATTCTATATTATCATCAATAAAGGTTATTATTGGAACAATCAAGCATGTATGCCATGCAAAAATGCTGACATAGTCGTAGGTGGTTATTACACTTGTAGTGCCTATTATGAAGGAACTTCATTGACATGTAATTCAGGTTATACATTGATAAATGGGTAATATAAAAAATGTATATTTTAAGTGTATGTGTTCAAATACCTCTTGGTTGTACAGCTTATGGTTTAAATCAGAATTCAGATGCTTATGTTTGTACAGCATGCTTATCTGATTATACACTTAAAGCAGGTGTATGTATCAATAATAGATATTGTTCATCATGGGATGATAATGCTGTTTGTACATCCTGTTAGACTGGATACTTTTTAAATTGGGATTTGAAATTTGCATCAACAAGTTCTAATTTAAACAATCAAACTGATTGGATTAATACTTATTAAACATATTATAAATTCCCTGGAGAATCATTTTGTAGTGTATGTTCATAAACAATGGCTAATTGTAAGTCTTGTAATTCAGCGTAATTATATATATCAATATATTATAGTTATACTTGTACATAATGTAATGATGGTTATTATTGGTAATAATCAATCAGTAGTACTTAATTGACATCCTCAAATGCCTAATTTGCTGGTTCTTGTGTAAGTTGTCTTACAAGTGGAAATTGTTCTACATGTTAAGGTTCTTCTTGTACTTAATGCAGAGCTGGTTATTATCCTACTAAAGATACAACCAGCACTGTAATATTATCTTGTAATTTATGTCCAAATGGATGTTCAACATGTACTTCATCAACTTTTTGTACTGATTGTTAAACTTCATTCTATAAATATACTGATAACTTATGTTATCCTCTCAATAAATGTGCTTCAATCAATACATAATTAACAACTATTCCAACAACACCAAAATGTTCATCTTGTATAGCTGGATATGCATTAGATCCAAGTGGAACAGGAATTTGTTATTAATGTGGAAATTGTGATAGTTGCACAATCCCTACTGGATAATAAACAGCTTCTTTATAAACTTCATGTACTACTTGTTGGGATACGTATAAATTTATCAATATATAATTTTAGATATTTTGGTGTTAAGGATACTAATGGAATAGTTACTTGTAAACCATGTACTCAAGCTTCAGATTCATTCTTGAGATGTTAAGGTCCAGTTGAAAATTCATCCCTTAATGGTGTTGTACCAACTTAATGTTAAGATGGATACTATTTATATACTTTACCTGCTTCAGGAACTACATTAGCATAAACAGTTTGTGTACCATCAAATTAATCATAACAATGTGTCACCATTGTAGCTACTAGTGCCACTTAATATACATGTGCAACTTGTACTATATAAACTAAATTGTATACCAATTCTTAATGTTTGGCTTGTGATGCAGGCTTAACTAATACATTACCTTAAGGTTGTACTGCTTGCAGTGGATCACCAACTAATTCAATAGCTTGTAGTGCTTGTGCAGCCAATTATTATTTCTCAAGTGGTACTACTACAACATGTACTGCTTGTGATGTTAATTGTCTTTAATGTGCAGCTGGTCCAACATGTACTAAATGTGCTATAACATATTATGTATCTGGTGGTGGATGTACATAATGTGGAGTTGCTAATTGTGCTACTTGTAATGCACAAACACCTAGTTCATGTTAAGTGTGTTTAGATGGATATTTCTTATCTAGTATTAATACAGGTACAGCAACAACTTCATATTGTTTGAAATGTCCTTTTGAATGTGCAACATGTTCTGCTCCAGGTTAAGTTTGTAATTCTTGTATATCTGGATATGTACTTTAAAATGGAGGTTGTGTTTCTTTGAGTAGTGCAAATTGTGCAGAAGGATATACTACATCAACTTTGACTAATTAATAAAATCCAACTACTTAAAATGGTTGTGCTATATGCAAATATGGATTTTACAATTTTGAAAAAAGATGTCTATAATCTGTACAACCATATGCAGGAGTATTATATTTTAATTATTATTTTCTTAGGCTGTTTATGTTCAAAAGAATATAGGTATTGGTTCAAATCCAGGAGTATCTAATTACGAGACCATCAT